ATATGTGTGTGTGTGTTTGTGCTAATATGTGTTAGGACGTGCGTGCATATGCTTATATACATGTGTTAGTATATGTTTGTGTTTGTGCGTATATATGTTGGTATATACCCACACACGCACACACACACATGTGTCTATGTTTGTTTGTGCTTATATATGTGTTGGTATTTGATTTAGTATATGTGTATGTATATACACTTGTTAGTATATGTGTGTGTTTGTGCCTATATATGTGTTTTGCTTATATGTGTCACTATATATGTGTGTGTGTGTTTGTGCTAATATGTGTTAGGACGTGTGTGTATATGCATAAATACACGTGTTAGTATATGTGCGTGTTTGTGCATATATATGTTAGTATATATGTGTGTGGGCATGTGTGGTTGTGCGTATATATGTGTTAGTATGTGTGTGTGTGCCTATGTGTGTTAGTATATATATAAATATATAGATAGATATGTGTGTGTGGTTGTGCATTTGTGCATTTTTGTGTTAGTATGTGTGTGTTTGTGTGTATATGCATATACACACACACACGTTTTAGTATACATACATGTGTGTGTTTGCATATATACATGTTATATCTATGCGTTTGTGCGCATATACACACACACGCATATATATATATATATATATATATATATATATATATATATATATATATATATATATATATATATATCTACATATAAATGTGTGTGTGTGTGTGTGTGTTTAAATGTGTATATGTGACCCTGGACCGCAAAACTTTGTCTTATGTTGCACAAGATTTTTACCAGTTTTTTTTCAATAGTCAAAACACTGTTGAAGTGTTGCAGTGTTGAAGTGTTGAAATATGAAGTTTTAGTATATTTAGTAAATGTCTTGCTGTAAATAGATCAAAACTCAATGTCAGATTAGTAATATGCATTCCTAAACACTTCATATGCACAACTTTTACTGTGTTTGTCCTCATGTCTACACTTTTTAACCCTCAGATTGCAGATTTCTGAACAGTTGCATCTCAAATATTGCCTTATACTAAACAAGTAAATGTTAGTGTGAAGCTTATTAATTCAGCTGTCAGATGACGCATAAATCACATTTTCCAATATTTTAGCTTTGTGGGCTGTATATATACACACACACACACATATGTGTGTAAGTATGTGAGAGAGAAAGTGTGTTTGTGTGCATTCGTGTCTGTGAATGTGTTAGTGTATATGTATGTGTGTGTGTTTGTGTGTGTGACTATGTTTAAATACAAGCATGTGTGTTAATGTGTATATACATAGATTTGTGTGTTTGTCAGTGTGTGTGTGTGTGATTATATGCATGTGTGTGAGTGTGTTAATGTGTGTGTGTTTCAGGTCTGACAGGTCTGGTGTTTGGGTTGTTTTATGGTGGTTTCGCTCGTCAGGCTCTTTAATTGAGCTGTGAATGAGCGAGAGATCAAAGGCTGACAGGAAGAGGAAGAGCACAGACACGACTCCACTGGTCACACACAGACACACACAGACACACACACACACACACACACACACACACACACACACACACACACACACACACAAAAATACAGTTGAAGTCAGAATTATTCGCCTCCCTGTTTATTTTCCCCAATTTCTGTTTAACGGAGAGCAGATTTCTTCAAGACATTTTAATCATAACAGTTTAATAACTAATTTCTAATAACGATATTCCAGTTTTGCACAAATGTATGTAATATATTTGGATGGAAACACAGATATTGCCTACCTTTTAGTCACACACAGAACATTCATTAAATTCACTGATCTTCGACATGTACTGTAACTAGATTAATTATACTTTCTAAAAGTTATTTTTAGTACTGCTTACCCTCTAAATGTTATATCAACCTCTATCACTTGATCAGTAAAAAAGGCAGACACACAAGTGCACTGTTAAATCTATTAAAACTGATAAATGTGTATAAAAGTTTAGAAAAAAATTATAAACATCACGCATTACTTATTTTATTTTACTTAAATATTTAAATATTTTAAATGTAAAATTAGGCATTTACTTGAGCAGCAGTTTTCCCACGCTAACGGTCTCTGTTTCACTGATGGTTACTTCTTTTTAAATATATACACTCATATTTGCTACAACTTCAACGCATCAAATTGTTGTATACAAGTCATTGTATATCAGTGGTTTGTTCTGGAGACAATCCAACACTAATATTGCTGAAGGGGCAAATAATATTGACCTTAACATGCGTTTAAAACAATTAAAAACTGCTTTTATTCTAGCCCAAATAAAACAAATAAGACTTTCTCCAGAAGAACAAATATTAGAGGAAACACTGTGAGAAACTCCTGAATCTGTTCAACATCATTTGGGAAATATTGGAAAAATGGAAACAAATCGAGGGGGGTGAATAATTCTGACTTTAACTGTAAGTATAAATATATTTATAATACATCACACATTTCTAAAAGAATCACTCAAGGCTTCATATTTTGATTTCAAACTATAAAGACTTTTTTTCAAAATAAGTTAGTTCAGCTTTGTTGGTTAATTAGTGAATCGTCTCTTGCTTTTTCAGTCTAATGCTTTGTGATTTGTGTTTCTGCAGTGTTTGATCTGACTGATCTCTGTGTCTCCACTGACGCTTCAGCAAAGACCAAACAAACAGCAGAGATCAACACTGAATAACAGATGATCAGAAACCCTGCAGACACACAGACAAATACAACTCTACATCACACTGATAGAAACACAACCACAACACAAAACAACCCCAAAACTCAATGACAACCCAAAAATGCTACAACAAAAATGCCATGACATCCCAAAACTGCCACGACATGACAACCCAAAACAACTCTACAAGCCTAAAAAAACTCTACAAAAGTGAATAATGCACTCAGTTTACTTGATTCCTCACTCCACAGGAAAAAAGTCAAATAAAGCTGAATTCATATTGCAGTATTAATATAGGAGCAGTCGTTTAAAGGTTGTTTATGCAGTCATTCTATTTTAATAAAGGTTGCGATGTTAAATCTGATGTTTACTTGCTCATTGTGCTCGCTTGCGCCCTCTTGTGGGTACAGCAGACAATACAAGAGGTCATAAACCTACATTTCCTGCACAGACTACAGTAAAAATGATTTTCATAAAAATTAAAAAGGAAAAATCAAAAAGATGATAAAAATTGTACAACAAAATTTGATTTTTGGCACTTAAAATTTGAAAAAGTGTCATTTAAATCAGTGCGTTGCTTTTCTTTCTTGCTTTTTTCTTTATGCTTATTTCTAAAATTTACGAGCAGCTTTTGAATTAAAATTGTTTCTACATTTTTTTTTTGCACAAACCTAAAACACATAGACATTTCCTGAAGTCACATTTAAAACATTAGAAATAATATTAATATTAATTATTTAACTAAATAAATGAAAATAAATCAAATTAAGTTGTTTATATAAATAATAATAATTTACCATTGGCTTAGTCACTTTATTCATCAAGGGTCGCCACAGTTGAATGAACCGCCAAATATTCCAGCATATGTTTTACACAGCTGATGCCCTTCCAGCTGCAACCAAGTACTGGGAAAAACCCATATACACTCATACACTATGGACAATTTAGTTGATCACTTCGTGTTTGGACTGTGGGGGAAACCGGAGCACCCGGAGGAAACCCACGCCAACACAGGGAGAACATACAAACTCCACACAGAAACACACACTGACCCAGCCGAGACTCGAACCAGCGACCTTCTTGCTGTGAAGCGATTGTGCTATTTTTTTTGCAAGTTGACAAAACTGAAGCCCATAATAATATGATGATGATGATCTTATTTTGACTAAGCAGCAGTAAGGAGGGATAAAGTGGAGGTAACATTAATTCTCCATCTTGAGTCGGGTCTAAGATGAACAGATAATTCTATAAAACAGATTTTTTGTATTCTATAAAATTGTCATAATTAATTGTCACAAAATATTTTTATGGGCCACTGCATATAATGTATATATATATATATATATATATATATATATATATATATATATATATATATATATATATATATATATATACAGTTGAAGTCAGAATTATTAGCCCCCTATTGATTTTTTTTTCTTTTTTTTATATTTTCCAAATGATGTTTAACAGAGCAAGAAAATGTTCACAGTATGTCTTATAATATTTTTTCTTCTGGAGAAAGTCTTATTTGTTTTATTTCAGCTAGAATAAAAGCAGTTTTAAATTTTTTTAAAAACAATTTTTGGACAATATTATTAGCACCTTTAAGCTAATATTTTTTCCATAGTCTACAGAACAAACCATCATCATACAATAACTTGCCTAATTACCCTAACCTACCTGATTCACCTTATTAACCTAGTGAAGCCTTTAAATGTCACTTTAAGCTGTACAGAAGTGTCTTGAAAAATATCTGTCATCAGGGCAAAGATAAAATAAACCAGTTATTAAAAATAGATTTTTAAAACTATTATGTTTAGAAATGTGCTGAAACGATCTTCCCTCCATTAAACAGAAATTGGGGAAAAAAAATAAACAGGGGCGCTAATAATTCTGACTTCAACTGTGTGTATATATATATAATTTGTCAGTTGGGGGAAATGGGTCAAATGAAGCAGGTGTAGAAAATGAGGTGAAGTCATCAAACCACAAACATACAGGAGAACAGCTCTGAGTTCAGCTTTACAGCACAGCAGATAACAAGCTCTGAATGAAAGACAAACTAACTGGAATAAAGATGCATTAAAGTTTTCTTTAACTTAGTACACACTGAGTTTATAACAGAGATTAATAATGAGTTTACGTGTTTAGCCACTTGTATGTATGTGGGTGATTCTAGAATTCAGGCTGCATTTTGAGACTTCAAGATAACTCAAATAATTTTTCTACATAATATAACATAATATATTCAAAAGTCCATCATCAGCATCACAATAAACACTAAATAAATCGAGTATAAACCAATAAGAGCCAGAACAGCAGTAGGGAAAACACATAAAGAGACATTCTGAGCTTTCATTCACATATTTAATCAAATAAAGCATCAGATTGTGTCAGATGATCATCTTCCTTATATCCAGAAGCAGTCTCAGGTAAAACACTACGAGAGTCTTTCTCATTCCTGTTCAGCATTTACAAAGAGTGTGCATCATAATGTTGCAGAACACCCATCATAACGGAGCTGATACTGGGAGGAACTGGGCTTCAGGCGTTGCGTTCGGACGGAGGAATAAACTCCAGACCCAAATGTGCAAATATCTCCTCTTCTGTTTGTGCCCGGAGGTACAGATTCTGTTCAGATTCAGAGACGATGCTGTGCTTAATGTTGAAGATTGTGATTGGGTTGTTATATTTATTGTACTGTTGAAGGTAGAATCTTTAGCCTTCCTGTATAATTAAGATTATTTCTCAGATATTTCCCGAGTGCTGTTTCACAGAGATTTTGTCTAATCATTTTTTAAGCATAATAATTTTATTAAATAATGTCTAATAACAAATGTATTATTCCTTGCCATGATGATGGCACAGAGTATTTTACAAGATCCTAGCATTCAGCTTAAAGTGACATTAACTAGTTAGGCAAGTTAGGAAATACGGATATATATGAGCGATATTACACTCGTAGCAGTGCTGGCCCTGGTGGGAGGCGTGCATTGGCTTAAGGCTGCAGGCTGAGTGCCTTAGTGTCCCACCAGTGCTGATATACAGCCACATGGCACTGCTGCACGTGTGATACTGCGTTTATACAACAGTTTGACAGCATAATTACATTTACATTTACATTTAGTCATTTAGCAGACGCTTTTATCCAAAGCGACTTACAAATGAGGACAAGGAAGCAATTTACACAACTAAGAGCAACAATGAATAAGTACTAAAGGCAAGTTTCAGGTCTGTAAAGTCTAAGAAGGGAAGTGTTAGTATTTTTTTTTTTTTTTTTTCATTTTTTTTTTCATGTGTATAAAAAAAAGAAATAGTCAAAAACCCTTTTGTATGAGGAACTACTTTATCCGCCATTCATTCACATCAGCAGCTGACTTCAGAACAGCAGAAGCAGTTACTAATTCACCAACGTCACTTGACAGCTAGTGTCTGAAGGATTCTCTAGCGCAATGTCTAAAGTGAGGACAAAACGGCTGATTTTGCTCACAAGATTAAGACTTTAAGGCTAAACAGCATGAAATGCCATCAGTCTACAGAGATTTCCCAGTATTTCTCTGTTGCAATCGGGAGATCGTAATAACAAACCCTGAAAAAGCCAAAGCAAAGCAAACACTAGCAGATTACTGTGGTATAAAGGCAGCACTATAACATACAAAAGAGTAATTGCCTAAAGCAGTGGTTCTCAAACTGCGGTATGTGTGCCACTAGTGGTACGCGGAGGAATGAAATATGTCATGTACATGCTACATATATTTCAAAATGTATAAAAAATAATGTATATAATATCCCATATAGCCTATATTTCTGAGGTAATCTGTCACGTTTTTTTAACTGTGCAGAGTTGTAGCTGCTTTCCTAGGCCTACCACGCTACTGTATTTCAATACTGCTCATTTTGGTGGTACTTGGAGTGACAATTTTTTTTCTGAGGTGGTACTTGATGAAAAAAATTTGACAACCGCTGGCCTAAAGAGTGCCACTTACCACTTTTATAATGACTTCATCAGCTGTAGTTATAAACTATGTTGAGTTTTTCTCCTCTAAGGGCTTATTATGTGGTCTCTGTCGCCATCTTGTGGCAAAACATCAACCGTCTAAGCTTTGCTCAGCGTGACAGGCTGATGGATGCTGATGCACTAAATCTCCAAAAGTACAAATATTTACCATGGGCACTATCCTTATAAATAAACAGCATAGTTGCAATCTAAATAATTATATTCTTGCCTAAAAAAAGCCTCAAAAGTACACTATGTTTTCCAACAGATGCAATATTTGTCGAACTGTATAGAGTTTATTGATCTGCTGTCAGTCTATATGAGTGGAGTAATACAGAAGAGTGAAGAGGCTGTACGAGTTTTACAAGAATATCCCAGGGCTATCAGCCAATCAGATCCGAGAACCAGACAGAACTGATAAATACATAAATATATTAAACATCTGTATTAGTGCTGGGAAAATTTATTGTGATTAATCACAACCCAAAAAAAAAACTTGTTTTGACATAATACATATGTGTACTGTACTTATTTATGATGTATAAAATAAAAATAAACACATGCATAAAAATATTTGAGAAAATGTTTATTCATATTTATATATAATTTTAGAAATGTGCATATACAAATTATATATTTACACATTTATATATATTTCTGTGACTATTTTGTTTTGTATAGTGTTGTTTTCATGTATGTGTGTATATTACATACACCAATAAATATAACACACACACGCACACGCTCACATACACACATATATATATATTATGTCAAAACAAACTTTTATTTTGGCAATTAATGCAATTTATCTTTGTCCAGCTCTAATAATTTACAATAAAATATAATATAATAATAACAATTTGCATATACAATCACAAAGTATGAAAAGTATAAAATATGCCCTCTTAAACAGCACTTGGGAAATATTAGAAAAAGAACAATTATTTATTCTTCATCTCTGTGTGTGTGTGTGTAATATTGTGCTCGTACTGATGTGGTTTTCTGAGCCTCACCTGTTTGCTGTCGTAGAGGGTGTGGCTACTCAAGGTCATCTGCTTCTCTTGCCCCGCCCACCTCCTCAACTCCCGCTCAAACAGCTGCAGAACACACAGAACACTGACCTCAGAACAGCTGCAACCACACAGTTTACACACACACACACACACGCACACACATACATACATACACACACATATATATATATATATATATATATATATATATATATATATATATATATATATATATATATGTGTGTGTGTATATATATATATACATACATATATATGTATATTTATGCATGCAAATAAATAAATAATAATAAATAAAATGTAAATGTGGGTGTGTCATAAGATCATAATGGGCTTTAGTTTACCTTTGATCCGGTCCACCCGAGCGTGGCGAAGGCAAACTGACTGAAGGGACTGACCACCAGATCCACCCGCACCGCTCTGCAGCCGCTGTCACATGCAGATCCAGATTCAGATGTAGATGCAGATCCAGATCGAGATGCAGATGAGTGAAGTTTAAAGATGGAGAAACATCTCTCAAATCGGTCCATGTTGCTGGCTGAGCGCGCCGGCCCATCCAGACGCTCCACATACGAGTTTCTGGTGGTCTTCTGATACAGCAGCACACCCTAAACAACAGCAGCATTCAGGAGGATTTAATAAAAGTCCCTGTGAAATCAAAATATAATTCTACTTTTTTTTATTTAATGTTTTAAAGGGTCTGGCGGCTTCTTTTTTTATCTGAGCTTGTGACTGTTAATATATCTACTAAATCATTAAAGGGTCAGTTCACCCAAAAATTAAAGCCGACTCGCTATTTACTCTCCCTCAAGTGGTTCAAACCTTTAGGAGTTTATTCTGTTGAAGACAAAAGACGATATTTTGAAGAACACCAAAGATAGCTGTAACCATTGACTTCCATTGTAGGAAAAACAAATACTGTGGAAGTCAATGGTTACAGGTTTATAAAACATTTTTCAAAATATCTGAAGAAAAACACAAGTAAAATGTGAGTAAATGATGACAGTCAAAATTCTGTCTCACATTTTACTTGTGTTTTCCTTAGTTTAGAGTAAACTGTCTCTGTAAAATCATCTAAAACATTTTTAGATGATAGTGAGAGTATGTCAGACTTAAGTATTGTTTTTTTTTATCTACACTCACTGGCCACTTTATTAGGTACACCTCACGAGCATCAGGTTGGACCCCTTTTGCCTTCAGATCTGCTTTAATCCTTCATTGCATAAATTCAACAAGCTACTGGAAATATTCCTCAGAGATTTTGCTCCATATTGTCATGATAGCATCACACAGTTGCTGCAGATTTGTCGGCTGCACATCCATGATGCCAATCTCCCGTTCCACCACATCCCAAAGCTGCTCTATTGGATTGAGCTCTGGTGACTGTGGAGGCCATTTGAGTACAGTGAACTCATCGTCATGTTCAAGAAACCAGTCTGAGATGATTGAGCTTTATGACATGCTGCGTTATCCTGCTGGAAGTAGCCATCAGAAGATGGAGACACTGTGCTCATAAAGGGATGGACATGGTCAGCAGCAATACTCAGGTAGGCTGTGGCGTTGATGCTCAATTGGTGCTAATGGACCCAAAGAAAATCTCCCCCACACCATTACACCACCACCACCAGCCTGAACCGCTGATACAAGACAGGATGATCCATGCTTTCATGTTGTTGAGGCCAAATTGTGAGCCGAGCATCCGAATGTGTCAGCAGAAATGGAGACTCATCAGAGCAGCAACGTTTCTCCAATCTTCTATTGTCCAGTTTTGGTGAGTCTGTGTGAATTGTAGCCTCAGTTTCCTGTTCTTAGCTGACAGGAGCGGCACCCGGTGTGCTCTTCTGCTGCTGTAGCCCATCCGCCTCAAGGTTGGACGTGTTGTGTGTTCAGAGATGCTCTTCTGCAGAGCTCGGTTGTAGCGAGTGCTTATTTGAGTTACTGTTGCCTTTCTATTAGCTGAAACCAGTCTGGCCATTCTCCTCTGACCTCTGGCCTCATCAACAAGGCATTTGCGCCCACAGAACTGCCGCTCACTGGATATTTCCTCTTTATTCTCTGTAAACCCTAGAGATGGTTGTGCGTGAAAATCCCAGTAGATCAGCAGTTTCTGAAATACTCAGAGCAGCCCGTCTGGCAGCAACAACCATGCCACGTTCAAAGTCATTTCAATCCCCTTTCTTCCCCATTCTGATGCTCGATGTGAACTGCAGCAGATCATCTTGACCATGTCTACATGCCTAAATGCAGTGAGCTGCTGCCATGGGATTGGCTGGTTCGATATTTGAGTTAACAAGCAGTCGGACAGGTGTACCTAATTAAGTGGCCGGTGAGTGCATATGCACATATATATTTTTCTCATTTAAAAAAGGCTACTAGAATTAAAAGTGTTTAGATATTTGGACTAGAAAAAAGACCTGCTCCTCCAGCCAGCTGATGATTTTCAACATCAGTCCTTCCTCCTTTCCCTCCTCCGGATGTGTGATGAGAAAGTCCACATCATGACCAACTTCCTTCCCCCTGAAATACACACAACAATATCAACAGTAAAAATTACAGACTGTTCCTCTTCGATCAGGGAAAACCAGCAGCAATCAGTAATGCATGATGATCTGCTGTCATGTCTTTGCAATCAATAAATGTGATTATAATGGAAGTCAATGGAGCAAAAACAGCACCAGAGAGGAGTCAATCTGAGCAGTGTATTGTTGAAATTCTGAACATTTTCAAAGCATTTTCCCAAAATATGCATCAGAATAAGATTTGTCAGCAGAAATCATCACATCTGCTAAAACACAGAGAAAGCGGAGGCCAAATGAAGACTCAAAATCAGCCCGGAATGTATGAAAACAACCTAACAGCACACAAGGGTTAATTAAAGGCTGTGATATAAAATATGCTTGAGGTTTTAAACCCCATGAGTGTTCATAAAGGCATTATAATCTGCTGTGAGCGCTACACAGACCTCCTGAAGCCGCCCATGAGCTGGATCTGACATCCAGGCAGCACCGAATTCACAGCCGCCTCCACTATAGCCATGATCAGCTCAGCCTCCGCCCGCGTCACCGCCCGCTGGAGCTCAGAGTAATACTGCACACCTGAGAGAGGTCAGAGGTCAAAGTAATACTGCACACTTGAGAAAGGTCCGACTCAGAGCAATACTTTTCATGGAAAATGTTATGCAAGAATATTTCATGTAAGAGTAATGAATAAACAACAACAAAACTTGTTAAATGCTTTTAATATTCAGTTAATATTTGTTTATAAATAAATATTACAAATAACAATAAATCCAGAGATATTGATAATTTTCAGGTGCATATTTCAGTGTTTTTAAGTGTAGATATGTTTAAACTACATTTTGTCTATATATTAAATGTTCTATATTTCTAAATATAGCTTAATCTCACATTAATCGCAGTACCTGCTTGCTGTGCACGGTTCAGCTGTTGTCCTGTGCGAATTAAATCATCTGGAGTTCGTAAACCTTCTCTAATCCAGCGATCAGCCGTCCGCACACCGACCCCGAAAACACCAGTCAGAGCCTGCAGAAAACAAGACCTAACTTCAGAAATCACAAACTAGAGGAGAAATTATTATTATTAATCGAAAAGTAATCTAAATATAATTTAATAGAAGTCGGATTACATTAGATAAATGTGTAATCTAACAGATCAAATAAGGGTTAAGGCAAAAGTAATCTAAATGTAATCCGAAAGAAGTCGGATTACATTACAGAAATGCGCAAACTGAGAAGTCAACTAAGAGTTAGGGAAAAAGTGATCTTAATGTAATCAAAAAGTCAGATTGCATCACAAAAAAGTGTAATCTGAGATCAAATACTGGTTAGCACAAAATAAATTTAAATGTAATCCAAAAGTCGTCAGATTATGTTACAAAAATGTGTAATTTAGGAGATCAAATCAGGGTTAAGGCAAAAGTAATCTAAATGTAATCCAAAAGTCGTCAGATTATGTTACAAAAATGTGTAATTTAGGAGATCTAATAAGGCTTAAGGCAAAAGTAATCTAAATGTAATAAAAAAAGAAGTCAGATTACGTAAAAAAATTATCTTAGTTATCAAATTGGATTTTAAGGAAAAAGTAATCTAAATGTAATCCAAAAGAAGTCAGACTACATTACCAAAAACGTGTAATCTAAGATCAAATATTTGTTAGCACAAAAGTAATTAAATTGTAATCCAAAATAATCAGATTAAACTACAAAAATGTGTAATTTAGAAGATCAAATAAGGGTTAAGGCTAAAGTAATCTAGATGTAATCCAAAAGAAGTCAGATTAAATTACAAAAATGTGTACTCTAAGAGATCAAATAGGAGTTAAGGCAAAAGTGATCTCAATGCAATCCAAAAGTCAGATTGCATCACAAAAATGTGTAATCTGAGATCAAATATTGGTTAGCACAAAAGTAATTTAAATGTAATCCAAAAGTAGTCAGATTACATTACAAAAGTGTGTAATTTAGGAGATCTAAAAAGGCTCAAGGCAAAAGTAATCTAAATATAATCCAAGAGAAGTTAGATTACATTACAAAAAGTAGTAATCTAAGAGATCAAATAAGGTTTAAAGGCAAAGTAATCTAAATGTAATCCAAAAAATCAGTTTACATTACATAAATATGTATTATAAGAGATCAAATAAGGGTTAACACAAAAGTAATCTAAATGTAATCCAAAATAAGTCAGACTACATTACAAAAATGTGTAATCGAACAGATCAAATAAGGATTTTAGTAAAAGTAATCTGAATGTAATCCAAAGTAGATAAATTAAGTTACAAAATGTGCAACTTAAGAGATCAAATCCTTATCTAAAAGTAATCCAAACGTAGTCCGATTACATCACCATTAATGTGTAATCTAAGAGATTATATAACCGTCTACAAATCATCATCATGTTATTGTAATCAGTTACTGATTACATTTCAAGAGTAATCCGCCAGCTCTGATTATGAGTAATGTGGAAGTATTTGTTTTTATCTGAACATACCCGTCATTACCTTCATGGCCTGAAACTGCTCCGACTGTCTTGTTGACTCCACTTCTCTTGATGAACCGTCTTCTAAAATCTCCTGTGGAGGTGAAATAACCTACTTTAACTTACAAAACATCTTGAAAGGCGCTAATAATATTGATGTTTTGATTATTATTTTTAATTTCAGGTTTACTTGATGCAAACCAAAATTAGCCAAGAGGTTATTTGTCATCTGCAGACCCTGGACTAATGTTAAAATAGACACCGGCGCTCCATCATCACCTTTATAACCCTCTGTGAATGATCCCCAAGGCAGGGCAAACACCGCAGATCCTCCATACTCTTCACCCGATGTGGGAGAGCCTTCAGGACTGAAGCCGCTCGTCTGAACGCCACGCTTCGGCCCTCATTATCATTAAACTCTGCATTCTGAGCCAAGATTTCAAGAGCTTCCTATGAGAACAGAGAGTTCAAAAGGTTTATCCTTCACTTAAAGGAGATATATTAGCTCTCGTTTTATAAGATTTAAAATAAAGATCTGATATTTAAAGTGTGCAGTGAAGTTTCAGCTGAAAATAGCACACAGATAATGCTTTCTATTGGTCTGAAACTGACCCTTTTAGGCTTTGAACAGTAAGTGTGGCGTTTAGTCAGTCGCTTTAAATTCAAATGAGACTGTGCCTTTTTCAAAAGAGGGCGGAGCTACAAATGCTTATGACCATATAAGGATGCCCTCTTATTTCTGTGTATGGGTTGTGTGCTGTGAACTATATTTTTAATTCCTTCCACAATATCTGTAAAGGAGACATCAATTTCTAAATAGCAATTTATGGCAAAAATGATTTTAAAATGCAATTAAGCAAATAATTTCATAAATAAAGAATGATCGTTTTGCTTCATAAGAGCTCAATGTGACATCAGGAGCCACGGCTATTGAACTGGACTGCGTTTCTTTTTAATCTCTAAAATGGGTCACCATTCACTGCCATTATACATATTATTCACCAAGCACCACAGATTAAGCTAAACATCTTCTTTAATGCTTTACTGAACACAGTCACATGTATCAATTTAATTCATTCATTCATGTCGGCTTAGTCCCTTTATTGATCCGGGGTCACCACAGCGGAATGAACCGCCAAACCATCCAGCAAGTTTTTACGCAGCGGATGCCCTTCCAGCAGCAACCCAACTCTGGGAAAAATTTAATTAATAAGAAATTTAAATTGGGCGAGGCAGTGGCACAGTAGGTAGTGCTGTTGCCTCACAGCAAGAAGGTCGCTGGGTCATTGGTTCGAGTTTGGCTCAGTTGACGTTTCTGTGTGGAGTTTGCATGTTCTCCCTGCGTTCACGTGGATTTCCTCCGGTTGCTCCGGTTTCCCCCACAGTCCAAACACATGCGGTACAGGTGAATTGGGTAGGCTAAATTGTCCATACTGTGTGAATGAGTGTGTGGATGTTTCCCAGAAATGGGTTGCGGCTGGAAGGGCATCTGCTGCGTAAAAACTTGCTGGATAAGTTGGCGGTTCATTCTGCTGTGGCGACCCCGGATTAATAAAGGGACTAAGCCGACAAGAAAATGAATGAATGAATGAATGAATGAATGAAAGAAATTTAAATTCTAGTGTGAACTATTCCTTTAAATTCGGATTCAACTCACTTCTCGATTGAGAGCATATGTGGGCGGGGCTTGATTTAGTCCTGATTGGATTGGTTATGGTCTGCTATTGGTGGATATGAAGTGAGCGACTCCGCCCCTCATGCTAATAAACAACAATCAGAGATGTGTCATTGAATATTCATTCATTCATTTTCCTTTCGGCTTAGTCCCTTTATTAATCCGGGGTCGCCACAGCGGAATGAACCACCAACTTATCCAGCATGTTTTACACAGCGGATGCCCTTCCAGCCACAACCCATCACCGGGACACATCCACACACACTCATACACTAGCCTACCCAATTCTACCCAATTCCCCTATAGCGCATGTGTTTGGACTGTGGGGGAAACCGGAGCACCCGGAGGAAACCCACACCAACACGAGGAGAACATGCAAACTCCACACAGAAATGCCAACTGACCCAGTCTTGCTGTGAGGCAAACATGCAACCCACTGCGCCGCCGACATTGAATATAATGAACAAAATAATGATGTGTGACAGATTAAGCAGTTTTAATACACACTAAAATCTTGTCTTACCGTCAGGAATGCATTGTGGTGCTTTAGAGGCGTTCGTCTTTGACAGGCGTAACTTTTCATCAGTATTTCAGCGCCATCGCCGTTGAGCTCTGGGTTAATCTGCAAAACAATGTATATACATCAGTTTCTCCAAGCTTATTTCTGGCACAACAAAATGTAATGAATAAATGAATGATTTGAATGATCAAGTGTGGGAATTTTGAGAACTTGAGAAGTGAGAAATAAATTAAATTGATTGCAAATTACGAGTTTGTATGCTGACTTTTTACACACAAAACGGTAAATTAAATCTCACAATTGTAATTTTTTGCATGAAGAATATGTGTTTCTATCATTTCTGAGAGCAATGCACATTGTGCATAGAGCTACTGTAGGCCTGCAAATAAATCATTTTCTTGTGCGACGTATCGTCACAAAAATTACTGGGTAACACTTTATTTTGATGGTTCGTTTGTTGAACTAAAGTTATATTGCATTTACATGCCAACTAATTCTCATTAGATTTTAAGTGGACTGTTAGGTTGGGGTTAGTGTAAGTTGACAGTCTACTAATACTCAAATAGACCATCAAAATAAAGTGTTATAATTATTGCAAATAATAGTGACATTATTGTAATTTTATGAAGATCATATTATAGCAACTACAGCATTAACAGAATAATAATAAAAATAGGCATAAACACTGTAAAGCAACAAAAGCTTTTCATTATTAAGGTTAAGCCTGTCACAATAATATGCTTTAGTTGTGTGATATATGAGATTACATTATTGTCTTTTGAAGCCCTTTTATTAAAGGTGCAGTACATAAGTTTGACACCCAGTGGTTCAACTAGGTGTTGCACCCCTGGTTCAAAACACATGCAAGAGCAGGTTGCCAGATTGACAACACCAATTCCGTTCAAAAAGCAACAGCAAGCAATAAAATGAATATTTTCCATATACAAAGGAGTTTATAACCTAACCAACACCTGAAATTGATATTTTAGAAGCGGCTTCTATTTCTTGCAGCTGAAGATTGGCTGTATTTACATTTCTGTCCAGTTTCGTCTGGTGCAATTAGACAAATTGCTCATCACTGCTAATCCCCTTTCATAGCGTGTTGTTGGGACACGGGGTTACAATGTAACCTGCTCACCTAATGTTTACACTCGTAATATTTATATTATTTGCTAATTAATAGCCTCATGTGAAACAATAATTGGCTAATTGGGTGTGTTAAATGACCAAAACAGAGACAGCTGTTCTGGCTCCTGTACCTGCAGTGTGTGTGTGTGCTGCACAGGTACGGGCTCACCGGCCTCCATGCTCTCCGTGAACCAGCAGATGTCCAGCAGGTGAACAGATGAGGATGAGGCTGCGTGTGTGTGCTTCTCCAGCAGGTGATCGGAGGAAGAGGCGCGTGTGTGTTTCTCCAGCCAGGCCTGAACCTCTGCTGCGCTGCTGTTCTCCGACACCACATGAGTAACAGAGGAGCTGATGGAGAAACACAACAGACTCACACCGCGTCCCAAAATACACACAACAGTCAATAGCAAGAGGGGAGTATAGTGATCCTTTTTCTTTTACACTGCTGGGTTCTACACAATTCGCTCATGTTTTCCCAACTCAAATCGATTAAATAAGTTTGTTGTTTTTACACAGTCAACTTATGTTACAAAAAGTTTTTACGAAAGCAAATGTTAACACAAATTCAAATGTTTACACAAAAGTAATCTAAATGTAATCCAGAAGTAGTCAGATAACATTACCATAAATGTGTAATCTAAGACATTATATTACTGAACACACATTTTGTCATGTTATTTGTCAAAAAAAAACGCAACCGTTATTAAATAATTCCATTAAACAAAAGAGTTTCAGTAAACAAATTATTCAATCATGTTAGAAAAAATCAGTGTTTTGCTGGCAAAAATAGAGTAAAGTAAAAAATGTTTAAAAAATCTTTAAAGAAACTTTTTTTTAAAAATCAAACTTATATTAAAGATAAAGAATGAAATTAGTTTTTGCATCTGTCAAAACAGCACGAGATTATCCTGATTCAATGTGTGTGACATCAAAATAAGTGTTAGCAGAAAAGTAATCTAAATGTAATCCAGAAGTAGTCAGATTACATTACCATAAATAATGTAATCTAACAGATTACATTACTGACTACACATTTTGTCATGTTATTTGTAAAATACTCTTAATCAGACAAATTATTTTTTATGAATTAGAATACTACATTATTTACACAACAGTAAGTTGTTTATTGATTATTTATGATTTATTAAGTAGTTTTTCCCTTTTATTTTTATGTTTACATTTTTTTATTATAAAACTGCCATTTATATGTATTTGTGATTCTTCTTGATGTTTTTCATTGATTTGGTCGTCTGCACTTAATTAGGCTGGTTTTGGAAACTAGGTATAAAAAAATAACACCACTACTATTTAAAAAATCCAAAACAGTTTCAGTAAACAAATTATTCAGTCATGTTAGCAAAAATCAGTGTTATAATGTCAAAAAATAAAAAATAAAGTAAAAAATGTTTAAAAAAAATTTAAATTTAACTTATATTAAAGATAAAGAATGAAATTAGTTTTTGAATCTGTCAATATAGCATAAAATAATCCTGGTTCAATGTATGCATCATCAAAATAAGGGTTAGCAGAAAAGTAATTAAAATGTAATCCAAAAGTAGTCAGATTACAAAAAAGGTAAAGAAAATTTAAAAGAAAAATACAAGCAGACAACAAAAAACTTTAAATTAAATTTATTTTAAAGTAAATATTTAAAGTATTTTTAATTGTAACTTTGAAAATAGCACACAATTTTATCCTGATTCAATATATGTGACATCAAAATAAGGTTTAGAGCAAAAGTAATCTAAACGTAATCCAGTAATAGCCAGATTACATTACCATAAATGTGTAATATAAGAGATTATAATAATGACTATACATTTTGTCATGATATTTGTGAAATAATCAGCCTAGTTACTTTTTATGAATTACATGACTACATTATTCAACTGATTTTAAGTATAAAAAATGAAAGTGTTTTTTTTCTTTGTATGTCAAATAGCACAAGATTATCCTGCTTAAATAAAAGCGACATCAAACAAGGGTTAGCACAAGTAATCCTAATGCAATCCAGAAGTAGTCAGATTACATGAGCATAAATGTGCAATCTAACAGAATACATTAATGACTACACATTTTGTCATGTCATTTGTAAAACACTCAGTCAAACCTAGTTACTTTTTATGGATTACATGACTACATTATTCAACTAATTTTAAGTATAAAAAATTTAAGTGTTTTGTCAAACAGTACAAAAGTATCATGCTTTAAAATACGCAACATTAAATAAGGGTTAGCACAAAAGTAGTCTGGTTACATTATCAAAATTTGTGATCTGAGTTTAAATAAGAGATATAACAAAAATAATGTAAATTTAATCAATAAATATACAGATTACATAGCCAACATTGTGTAATCCAAGACACCAAATAACGGTTAGTACAAAAGTAATCTAAAAGTATTCCAAAAGTAGTCTGATTACATTATACCATATTTGTGTAATCTAAGAGATTATATTACTCTCTACACATTTTGTCATGTTATTTGTAATCAATAACTGATTATTATCCATCCAGCTCTAGACATTAAATAACTAAATAACTAAATACTAAACTGGACCACGGTAAAGTGACGCTGTAAGCACACACCTGTACGAGTCTTCAATGAGAAACCCTTTGCTTCTTCCTAACCGGGTGAGAAACGCTCTTCTAGACGCTCCCATTTTCCTCTCCAGGATGAAGATGCAGACCTGAGGATATTTACAGCTGCCAGTCTGCTGTTTTACCGGCACAGACACTTTCCTGCGCTTTAACGGGATCATAACCGGGAAATGTATCCGTTCACCGCGGTGTTGTTTTGGACTCTTCTATAAGCTTCACTTCTACACTTCTGCCGCGCTGAGGGAAACAGGTCACGTGGTCAACTCGCAAAAAAATTATTATTGTTATTTAGTATTATAATATAGAATTGTCTGTGGTTGGATGTATACAATGATTATGTTTTAAACATATATATTGTTAAATGACAACAGCATGTACAAATTATTAAATAAAGAATACTGCGCTCAAACATGGCATTTGTTACTTTTCTCAGCGTTCGTGACGATGAGCCAATCACATTTACATTTTTCGTGTATCTTTATTAAACTTTTAAATGACAGGCATTTGTTATAATTAATTAACATTAGATTTAAGCAGCATATCATGAATAAAACAGTACACAAAGTAAAAATAAAACAGAAAAAAATACAACATCAAATAAAACTATAATACAAACTAAACTACACTCAGGGGTGGCAATGTTTGTTGTACCGATCGCTAAAGTTTGACACTAAAACATGTTTTTTTTCTAAATGTCTTATTGAAGAGATTAAAACGGTTTATTTTTATCCTTTAGAGTGATTCATGCTGCGAGACTGTTGCTGCCACTACTACTACTACTACTACTACTACTACTAATAATAATAATAATAATAATAATAATACTTTTTATTATAGTAAAAAGAGGGCCTAAGCCGAATGAAAATGGATAAATGGGTTATATTAACAAGTTATGGTAATGTTTTACAGGATGTTTCTCACCGCGGATTTATTTTGAGTGGTGCACAACCTAGGCAGACTTTTGGTGCACCTATAAAAAGTTCCGACTACCTTAACTTCAGTCGAATAACCAGAAGTAAAATAAAACAATTTTATAAAACAAGGGCAGCAAATATTCCCTGATCTTCAGTCACGTGTCACCTGCAATTATAAAACTATAACTATAAAACTATAAAATATGCCACATGACAGGTTACGATCTAGCAATAAAGCGCACATGGCCATGTTTGTGAAGCTTTTATTTTGTTATTTTACAGTAATTTGTCAAATATTTAAGTTTTTTTTTACGTTTATTGTAATATTTTACGTGTGGAAGTTGAAAAACAGGAATATCAAAATTTCGTCTGGCATATAAGATTACATCAAATAATATAAATAGTGTGTGCAACCTTTGTGGATGTAACAAAAGAGATTTTTATACAAATGTTTATATATTTTTTTCTTTTCATAATGTTTAATGTTATTATTTTGCATTTAATAAATTTATTTCATATGGTTTTATTAAATTCTGAAGCCATTAACTATGATTTTCTTATTGAATTTTGTGAGAAGTAAGCTGTTGCCAGAAATAATTAATAAATATTTTTAAAACATTACTAATGATATGAATTACTTTTAAAAAAACGTAGGAAAAAACAACTGCATTAAAAAGAAAGCGATTTTTATTTATTAGAATTTGCATTACATAATTTCCAAAGCTTGAGGTATGATTTGTTTAGTGTATAATTAGTCTTGTTAAATTTAATTCAAATTAATTTATTTTATTTTAATTAAATTTTATTTTATTGCTATTTTTTTTGTAATTTTTAATTAAATTATTATTTTTTTATTTTATTACTCTTTTTATTTAATTTAAATTTAAGCTATTTTTTATTGCTATTTTTATTTAATTTTTATTTTAATTAAATTTTTATTTTATTACTATTTTTATTTAATTTGAGTTTAAATTTAATTGATTTTTTATTTTATTGTAATATACTTTAATTTATTATTTTCAATTTAGTTCATTCATTCATTTTCTTTTCGGTTTAACCCCTTCATAATTAATTTAATTTAGTTTAGTTTATTTTTATATTTAATTTAATATAATTTATTTTTTTATTTTATTGTAACATTTTTATTGCTATTTTTATTAAATTTTTTAAATGTAATTTTTTTTTAATAAATTTAATAAATTTTATTGTAATTCATTTTATTGCTATTTTTCTTTTTTTTATTTAATACATTTTTTATTTTGTTTATTTAATTTGAATTTAACAACATTTTTTATTTTGCTATAATTATTTTTTATTATTTTCAATTTAATTCATTCATTCATTCATTCTCTTTTCGGCTTAGCTCCTTCATAATTTAATTTATTGTAATTTAATTTTATTATTTGTAATTTACCTTAAACTAGGTTTATTTTATTGTTTTTACATTTTAAATTAGATTAATTTAATTTAATTTAATTTAATTTAATTTAATTTAATTTAATTTAATTTAATTTAATCATGTGTAGCTTGTGTATTGTCATGGGTTATCATCGGTGTGCCCCTTGCTTCTATTTTAACAGTTGTGTTTATTGTTTTTTCCTGCTCGTCAGCTGTAGGTCAGGCTGCAGTCATATGACTCTCCAGCTCCACTTCCTCAAACAGCGCGTGTCTCCGCCGTGACTGTCCGCTTCTGCTCGACTCTCCAGCGGCTGCTCCGGCTCTGAGTGTCCGCAATGAGGAGCTCTCCGCCCGGTCAGTGGAGCTGCGGCTGCCCGCTGAAGCTGCTGGTGCTTTTCTTCTTCTTCTTTACCTGCGCTTTCAGCAGCAAAAACAACATCATCCTCATCCTCACCGACGACCAGGACGAGCAGATGGGCGGAATGGTGAGGAATTAGGGTCACATTACTGACAGCGAGTGTGGGATCACTGCCATCTTGGGCTGTTTAAGCAAAGGTCAGTCGCTAGAAGATGTGTTGTAGCAGTGCGGAGCATTTGTGAGCTCAACTTCTGAGGAAAAGTTGCCCCCATATATTTTACTAACACACACACACACACACACACACACACACACACACACACACACACACACACACACACACACACACACAGACTGCTCCAATTGTCCAATTGCAGGCATTTCAAAAGCATTATAACACTGAACACACCTATTACTGACGGTAAATGTAAAATTACTATTATTGTGTGTGTGTGTCTGTGAGTGTTTGAGATTGGTGTGTCTGTCTGTCCGTTTGTGTTTATTTGTTTGTTTGTGTTTGCGTGTGTGTCTGTCAGTCTGTGTGTGCTTGTGTATGTATGTGTGTGTGTTTGTGTTTGTTTGTGTGTGTGTGTGTGTGTGTTTGCTTGTCTGTCTGTCTGTGTGTGTGTGTGTGTGTGTATGCTTGTGTGTCTGCCTGTTTGTGTGTGTGTTTATGCTTATGTGTGTGTATGTCTGTTTGTGTGTGTGTGTATGCTTGTGTTTCTGTCTGTCTGTTTGTGTGTGTGTGTGTGTGTGTGTTTGCTTGTCTGTCTGTCTGTCTGTGTGTGTGTGCGCATATGTTTGTGTGTGTGTGTATGCTTGTGTGTCTGCCTGTTTGTGTGTGTGTTTATGCTTATGTGTGTGTATGTCTGTTTGTGTGTGTGTGTATGCTTGTGTTTCTGTCTGTCTGTTTGTGTGTGTGTGTGTGTGTGTGTGTGTGTGTGTGTGTGTGTGTGTGTGTTTGCTTGTCTGTCTGTCTGTCTGTGTGTGTGTGTGTGCGTGTATGTCTGTTTGTGTGTGTGTGTATGCTTGTGTTTCTGTCTGTCTGTTTGTGTGTGTGTGTGTGTGTGTGTGTGTGTGTTTGCTTGTCTGTCTGTCTGTGTGTGTGTGCGCATATGTTTGTGTGTGTGTGTATGCTTGTGTGTCTGCCTGTTTGTGTGTGTGTTTATGCTTATGTGTGTGTATGTCTGTTTGTGTGTCTGTGTATGCTTGTGTTTCTGTCTGTCTGTTTGTGTGTGTGTGTTTGCTTGTGTGTCTGACTATTTTGTTTGTGTTTTTGTTTGTTTGCGTGTGTTTGTCCGTTTGTGTTGCGTGTGTTTGTGTGTCTGTCTGTTTGTCCATTTGCAAGTTCGTATGTATGTATGTATGTGTGTGTTTGTGTGTGTGTGTGTGTGTGTGTGTGTCTGTCTGTGTGTGTGTGTTTGAGTGTGTTTGAGTGTGTTTGTCTATCTTTCTGTTAGTGTGTGTGTGTATTGGCATGTGTGTTTGTCTGTTTGTGTGTGTTGGTTTGTGTGTGTCTGTCTGTTTGTGTTGTGTGTGTGTGTCTGTCTGATTGTGTTTCCGTATGTGTGTGTGTGTTTGTTTGCGTTTTTGAGTCTGTGTGTGTGTCTCTGTGTTTGTTTGTGTTTGCATGTGTTTTTCTGTATTTCACTTTGTGTGTGTGTGTGTGTGTGTGTGTGTGTGTGTTAATTATTCCCAGTGCTGCCCCTAATAGTTCACTAACCTCAGTCTTAATAGTGCACTAAACCTAGTCGATTAGTCAGCTAGTGCACTACTCATGTAGTTGTTGCCTGATGTTTTAATAGGGTATATGCAGAAGTATGTGGAAGGACTTTTAATTTGTCAGTAACCTGAGTCAATTGCTTCCGGTGAACTGTTTGCCGTTATAAAATTGGCGCTGTAAGGTCTGATTTGTCTTTATAATATGAGCATTTGTTTTACCCCAGTATATTCGATGGAGCTTCTGCGCTCGTGTGCTGATCCTGACGGGCGTGTGCGAGTAAACTGCGTTTCATCTTGTTTTACGCTTGAGTAATAAATGAAAGCTGAAGTCTATTTAACTGATTATATTTTAATAACATCACAACATCGATGCTGTAAAAGGAAGCTTATAAATCTGAAAAAGTCACATTAACAGTTCACCAGAAGAGTATCAGTAAGGGAAGAAACACTAGCTCTGCATATACCCTATTGATGCAGTCTGCAGCTCCAGAAACCTCCTGTATCGCCTATCCTTCATGATCTGTGTGTTTTAGAAAGATCTTATGCTGCTGATCACATCATTAGGCTGAAGTGAGAGTGTGATTCACATCCTGTTATCAGTTCTGTGTGTGTTTGTGTTTGTGTTTGTGTTTGTGTTTGTGTGTGTGTGTGTGTGTGTGTGTGTGTGTGTGTGTGTGTGTGTGTGTGTGTGTGTGTGTGTGTGTGTGTGTGTGTGTGTGTGTGTGTGTGTGTGTGTGTGTGTGTGTGTGTAAGAGAGAGGGAGAAAGTAAGTGTGTTAGATGTTAACTGAATTATACGTTCTTTTCCTCAGACGCCGATGAAGAAGACGAGAGAGCTGATTGGTGACGCCGGCGCGACCTTCTCTAACGCTGTGAGTTTTCAGAGCTGGTGGATTACTTAGGAAATGTAATCAGATTACAAATTACTTGTCAAACATGTGTAGTCAGTAATATAATCTTCCAACCTAAACCACGGCGAATGAAGTTCTGCACAAGACTTTGAAATTAAAATGGTCGTGCCCAACTGAGTCTGGTTCTCTCAAGGTTTTTTTTCTTCACTCCCATCAGGTGAAGTTTTTATTCCCTCTCCGCTGTCGCCACTGCCTCGCATGGTTCAGGATTGGTAGAGCTACGCATCGATGAATTAGCTCTTCAGTGTTTGAACTCTCAGTAATGAATAAATCACACTGAACTGAGCTAAACTGAACTGAACTGAACTTAAACACTAAAACCTGAACCACACTGTTCCAGTTACTGTGACCATTTATGTGAAGCTGCTTTGACACAATCTACATTGTAAAAGCGCTATACAAATAAAGCTGAATTGAAATTGAATTGAATCTAGTAGATTACAATTTTATACTAACGTAATCTGACTACTTTAAGATTACATTTAGATTACTTTTTGGTAAACCTTATTCGATGTCATAGAATTGACATTATGGTGGTGTAATCTGACTATTTCTAGATTACATTTAGATTACATTTGTCTTGAACCTTATTTAACCTCAGATTAATTATTTTTGCTATGTAAAGTAATCTGACAACTTTTGGATTACATTTAGATTACTTTTATGCTAACCCTTATTCGATCTCTTAGATTATTTAATTTGGCAATGTAATCTGACTACTTTTGAATTACGTTTAGATTACTTTTGTGTTAAACCTTATTTAATCTCTTAGATTAGACATTTATGGCAATTTAATCTGACTATTTCTAGATTACATTTAGATTACTTTTGTGCTAACCCTTATTCAATCTGTTCGATTAAACAATTTGGCATTGTAATCTGACTTCTTTTGGATTAAATTTAAATTACTTTCGTGCTAACCCTTATTTGATGTCTTAGATTAGACATTTTTGGTAACGTAATCTGACTAATGTAATCTGACTTCTTTTGGATTACATTTAGATTACTTTTGTGCTAACCCTTATTCGATCTCTTAAATTACCCAAATTGGCAATGTAATCTGACTACTTTTGAATTAAATTTAAATTACTTTCGTGCTGACACTTATTCAATCTCTTAGATTACACAATTTGGCAATGTAATCTGACTACTTTTGGATTACATTTAGATTACTTTCGTGCTGGCCCTTATTTAAACTCAGATTAAACATTTTTGCAGTGTAATCAGACTTTTTTGGATTACATTTAGATTACTTTTGTGCTAATCCTTATTTAAACTGATTACCCATGTTGATAATGTAATCTGACTATTTTTGGATTACATTTAGATTACTTTTGTGTCAAACCTTATTTAATATCTTAGATTAGACATTTTGGTAATGTAATCTGACTATTTCTAGATTACATTTAGATTACTTTTGTGCTAACCCTTATTCGATCTCTTAGATTACACAATTTGACAATGTAATCTGACTACTTTTGGATTACATTTAAATTACTTTCGTGCTGGCCCTTATTTAAAATCAGGTAAACATTTTTGCAGTGTAATCAGACTTTTTTGGATTACATTTAGATTACTTTTGTGCTAATCTCTTAGATTACACAATGTAGTTTTGGCAATGTAATCTGGACCCAGTTGTCAAAAGCAAAACAGTGGGAATTTGGATCATGGATTGGATTAAATCTTGGAATTGGGGTTTTCAAAAGTAACAGAGGGATTTTGAGTTAAGATCAGACTATGTAATTCAATCTTACATTGGATTCGGTTCAGACCTGTCCTTTGGGTTGTTCAAAACTCAGATTAGGATCTGTTTGATTCAACAAACAGGATTATCCTGATCCCATCAGAAGGGTGGATTCAGTTTTGATTTATTTTTAATCAAAGAAACCAGATAAAATAAAAAAAGTAAAAAATAATTTTGTGAATGATCACAAACGTAATAGTTGCTGATGATATATAAATTCCTTCTTATTTGAAGCCTATGTGAAACATGTCACATCTAATGAGATATGGTAAACAATTTAACAGTATTACAGCAGTACTGTATCAGAACAAACAAACAAAAAAACTTAAATGTTTGTTGATTGCAGCGTTTCTGTTTCTTACCATTTAAACAAACAACGGCGGCTTGTGTCCGCTAGTATTTTGCCTACGTGTTGTTCTTTGCTAAGTCAGTAGGCTACACTGGTTCCATTTAAGGCTCTGGTAATCAGGATTTTTGGTAACACATTTTGATAAAGTAGTCTACATAAGAAGGGGGCGGGGCATGTCAGATACTAGAGAGCATTTGATTGGCCAGAAGATTGAGAAACTGAAGTATTTGAGGCAAAACAATCATTGATCCATTTAGACGGAAGAAGCAAACTTAAGATGTTTATATCAGATTAATATCTTCTAAATGTGATTTTAGTCACTGTTTTAGATATATTTAAGACTAACATACTGATACTAACATTTAAAACACTTTGTTTTCATTTCATGGGGACTTTAAATGCAAAATGAGGGGAATAACTGCAAAAAGGCCCACCCTTTGATGAGAAGAGCCACGTCTTTCACCAAGCTGGCTTCGGTCCTGTATAATGTGTGTTTGTGTGTGTGTGTGTGTGCAGTTCACCTCCACGCCGCTGTGCTGTCCGAGCCGCAGCAGCTTCCTGAGCGGCAGATATCCACACAATCATCTGGTGCACAATAACTCAGTGGAGGGAAACTGCAGCAGCGCCGCCTGGCAGAAAACAGCCGAGCCCTTCGCCTTCCCCGTTTACCTCAACAAGATGCGCTACCAGACCTTCTACTGCGGTAAATACCTCAACCAGGTGAGCTGAAGACGAGCAGCGCTGACCTCCGATACCTGCACACTCGGATACACACTGCACACATGAGCCTGAGATCTCAGCGCTCCTCTGATTTAAAAGAAATACTGTAAATAAACGTCAATAGTAAGAGTGCCACGGTGGCTCAGCAGTCAGCACTGTGGCCACACAGCAAGAAGGTTGCTGGTTTGAGTCCCGGCTGGGTCAGTAAGTGTTTCTGTGTGGAGTTTGCATGTTCTCCACGTGTTGGTGTGGGTTTCCTCTGGGTGCTTCGGTTTCCCCCACAGTCCAAACACATTCGCTATAGGGGAATTGTGTGTGTGAATGGGTGTTTCCCAGTGATGGGTTGCAGCTGGAAGGGCATCCGCTGTGTAAAACAAATGATGGAATAGTTGGTGGTTCATTCCGCTGTGGCGACCCCTGATTAATAAAAGAAAAAGGGAATTTTTTTTCGTGGCTTCACATTTGCATGGAATTGCTCTAATATTGTTCCACGAATAATCTTCATTTCTTTGGCTCTGTTATGTTAGAATGGGAAATAAACCTGCTGCTGTGTGTGTATGTGTGTGTCTGTGCGTGTATGCGTATGTGTGTGTGTGTGTGTGTTCAGTATGGCAGTAAAGACGCTGGCGGTGTTGCTCATGTGCCTCCTGGATGGGATCAGTGGCATGCGCTGGTGAGTTTGACACATGTTTAATGTATGTTTGCAGTTTATTTCTACATCACAGCATTGCCCAAACGGCTGAACACAATCAACATAAATTAACAAGACAGAATCATCTTCAATATGCAGATGGATTTTAGGAATGCCTAAATGTTGTTAACAATATTGCAGCCGTCATTCTGTCTTTGAAAGATAATGAACGCTCATCATCAGCCAATCAGAATCATGCATCCAGCAGTCATGTGGTATAAATGTTTCATGTGTGCGTCTGCAGGTGGGAAACTCTAAATATTATAACTACACTCTGTCAGTGAATGGGAAAGAGGAAAAGCATGGAGACAGCTATGAGAAGGATTATCTCACAGACCTGGTGGTGAGTGTGTTTAATGCTTTTAATGTACAGTAAATATCTTAATGTACTGTTATAGTGTGTTGTGCTTGCTTAAACTCCGTGAGGAATTACATAGATTAATTTTTATTTATATCTTTTATGTATACAAAATTATGTATACATTCTCTAAAAATAAAATTATATTCTATTTATATTTTTAAAACTTAAAAAATATTATTATATATAATATCTTCCTATTTTCAAATTGTTGTTATTGTTGTTATTATTATTATGTGTACTTAAAATAATTATTAAAAAATATTTTTATTCTTTTTCATTTTTTTAAAAATTAGGGTTAGTGTTCATTGTTATTATTAAACTTATGTGTATTTACTATAAAATAATAACTATTGTTTAATTAATTTAAAAAATGTAGTTATTTATTTTTATGTATATATAATAATATAAAAATAATAATAATTATAATAATAATTATTATTATTACTATTAAATTCATTTTTTAAATTATGTATTTATTTTTGATAACATTATTTATATTAATTTATTTTAATGTATTCATACTATAAAATAATTATTATATTATATTATATTATATTATATTATATTATATTATATTATATTATATTATATTATATTATTTTTTATTGCAAATTACTATAATTACTTATAATACTTTTATTTATTATTATTATTTATTTATTTTCTGTTTATTATATAAATAATAGTATTGCAATTGTTATTAAAATATTTATTATTATTATTATTTTTATTATTATTATTTATGTATACTGAATATTATATGTATATAAAATATTAAATAAATTATTTTATAATTATTCTAAAATATTTGTTTAAATTATTATTTTTTAGTTCTTTTTTCTTTTTATTTATTATCCCATTATTATGATTCATATTTATGTGTATAAAATATAAAAATAATTAATATTGTTATAATTATTCTTTTTATTTATTTTATTATTTCTTTTTATCTAAAAAATATACATTTATTATTATTATTATATTTTATTATACAAAATAATAATATTGTTAATAAAATATTTTACTTATTATTATTTTTTATACTAAATATCAAATATTAAGTATAAAATATAAATTAATGTATAATAATTATAATAAAAAATTGTCCATTTTTACTTCTTTATTATTAATATTTTTATTATTATTATTTATGTGTATTTATTATAAACTAATAATTATTGTTATAATTTTATATTATATATATTGTTATAATTATTCCGTCATTTATTATTATTATTTTTATTTAAACATAATGTAAAATTACTATTATTATTATTATTGTAAAAATATACTCTTTTGTTTATTTATTATAATTTTTTAAAAATATCATTATTTGTTTACAAATTTTTATATATTTGAGCAGTCCTGGAATGTATAGACTGATACAGAGTGCTGCATGTTTTACATGTCATTAAGTCACACATGTATTATTAGAAGCTAATTTGCACACAGAAGAGCTGCTGTTTATTTTATTATCAAGTCTCTTCCTGCTCAACCTGTTTAACATTTAAAAAAATGCATTTACTGTCAGATTAAAGGCTTAATTAGGCTAATTAAACAAGTCATCAGACAACTGTGGTTAGTTCTGTTGACAATAAAAACATATTTCTAGAGGGGCTATTAGTTTTAACCACAGTAGTCTTTCTATTTCCTCAAAAGTTAATCTTGTTAAGTTAATGCTGTGGAGAATCTGCTTGCTCTGTTGAGCATCACTTGAGAAACATTTGAAAAACACTGATATGCATTTATTTTATAATTCCGCTGTTTTCCTCGTAATGAAGCTGATGATGAAGCAGCACTTTCCAGGCTCATGAGGCTTTGCTTTATTCTGTTTCTGATGCTGAAACATGCTGAAATCCTGAGAGTTACTGTTTGACTACTGACAGGTGTGGCAGATCAACACTAGTGCAAACTAAACTCGACTAACAATAGAGTTAATCCACACATTCACTGCGTATTCTAGCTGTTAAGTGTGTGTCTGTGTGCGTGTGTGCGTGTGTGTATATATATATATATATATATATATATATATATATGTGTGTGTGTGTGTGTGTGTATGTATGTATGGTATGTATGTATGTATGTATGCATGTATGTATGTATGTATGTATGTATGCATGTATGTATGTATATATATATATATATATGTGTGTGTGTGTGTGTGTGTGTGTGTGTGTGTGTGTGTATATTTAATGTGTGTGTGTGTGTGTTTATGTATATGTTTTATATATGTTTGTATATGTATGTTTAAGTATATGTGTGTTTGTGTTCATATGTGTGTGTGTGTATGTGTGGATGTATATGTACATATGTGTATATATAATATTTGTGTTCGGCGTGTGTGTGCGCAGCTGAACCGCTCTCTGCATTTCCTGGAGGAGCGCAGTCCCAGTCACCCGTTCTTCATGATGTTGTGTCCACCGGCTCCTCACTCTCCGTGGACCGCCGCTCCACAGTACAGCGGCTCCTTCAGCGGCGTTAAAGCTCCGCGCAACGGCAGCTTCAACAAACCTGGAACGGTACACACACACACACACACACACACACACACTGCAGCTGAAAATACATAACCCAGCTTTACATATCTGAAGTCCTCATGAAGTCTACACTGCTGTGCTGTATGTCAAGCTGATGTGGGCGGGGCTTAGTTTTGAACATTGATTATTATGGGTTGCTATTGGTGGAGCTTGAGTGGGGGACAGGTGGACCCCGCCCCTCACACCAGTAAACACCAATCGGAGATGAGATGCTGAAGGAGATATTTCAAGTCATTTTGATTTAAGATTATGAGAATAATTTATTGCACAAATTACAGAAATTATCATTATTGATTACATAAATTACTAATACTGCATGTGTGTGTTTAGAATACTGTATGCATATGTAATAGATATGCTAATTAGATTCAGGATTGTGAGATAAATGTTTACAAACACAGCAATATTGCATAAACACACTGAAATCATCCACTTTATGAAATCATCATTATTGATAATCTGGCTGATTTCACTGGTTTTCCTCTGATTTCAGGACAAGCATTGGTTACTACGGCAACCTGCCAATCCAATGCCGAACAGCTCTATTGATTACCTTGACAACGCTTTCCGCAGAAGGTGAAGATCACTTCATTACCATCAATCTTTGTATCAGCATGCCAGTCAAAGGGCAATTAAACACGCCAAAAAGTGTGTGTCTGTGTCTGTGTGTGTCTTTGTGTGTGTCTTTGTGTGTGTCTTTGTGTGTGTCTTTGTGTGTGTCTGTGTGTGTGTCTGTGTGTGTGTCTGTGTGTGTGTCTGTGTGTGTGTCTGTGTGTGTGTCTGTGTGTGTGTCTGTGTGTGTGTCTGTGTGTGTCTTTGTGTGTGTTTGTGTCTGTGTGTGTCTGTGTGTGTCTGTGCGTGTCTTTGTGTGTCTGTGTGTTTGTGTATGTGTGTTTCTGTGTGTGTCTGTGTACAGCGTGTGTGTTTGTACTGTGTGTGTGTGTGTGTGTGTGTTTCTATTACGTAAATGTGTACTCTGTGTGTTTAGAATGTATTGTGCATGTGTGTTTACTCTGTGTTTTTAATGTGTGTGTGTGTGTAATTACTGTGTGTGTAATGTCTGTTTTCTGTTTTTGATATATTTGTATTGCATGTGGGTGTGTTTACTGTGTTTTCTGTGCGTGTGCGTACAATCTCTGTGCGTCTGTGCATAATATTTATGTGTGTGTCTGTGTGTATGTAATGTTGAGTGTGTTCACACTTTATTGTGTATGTGTGTATTATGTGTTCATGTGTGTATATGTAAGTGTGTAATGTTTACTATGTGTGTGTTTGTACTGTAGTGTTTGTTTGTGTGTACTTGTACTGTATTGTGTACGTGCGTTTACTCTGTGTTTGATGTGTGTGTTTGTAGTGTAGTGTGTGGGTTTGTGTTTGTGTGTACATCGTATGTGTTTGTACTGTGTATGTATGATTCTATTGAGTATGTGTGTACTCTGTGTGTGTTTAGACTGTATTGTGCATGTGTGTTTACTCTGTGATTTAATCGTGTGTGTGTGTGTGTGTGTGTGTGTGTGTGTTAGATGGCAGACTCTTCTGTCTGTGGATGATCTGGTGGAGCGTCTGCTGAAGAAGCTGGATTCAGTGAAGGAGCTCGACAACACATACATCTTCTACACGTCTGACCACGGATATCACACCGGTGTGTGCTCTCTCACACACACACACACACACACACACACACACACACACTTTTACTCAAACAAGCACAGTGTATATATAAATATATATAAGCTGCGTCCCAAATGGCACACTATACACTATGCACTCATGCACTATGTACTTCTGCACTTACACACTCAGCAGGATAGTATATGTATGTAGTGTCGTCCCACATGGCACACTTATGTATTTTTACTAAGCGGAAATTCAAACCGTTTCCCTGATGACGTTTGACTGTTGCCAAATCAGTGAAATAAACAACCAAATTATCAAATAATACCTGCCGTGAGTATAACCGCATTCACCATCGGGAGGCGCTATAATCACTCTCGTAGGAGAATTTTGCTTTCACCATCCAAAATAAATAAAGTTATTCAACATGTGCGGCCGATAGCTCCGCCCCTTCCGCTATGTGAGCAAACCTGCGGTCGTTGAGTGCGTGAAGTGTCCATCATTACACACTTCATTTTAGCGGCTGAATGAGTGCATCATCCGGGTAATTAAAGTGTAATTTTATATATATATATATATATATATATATATATATATATATATATATATATATATATATATATATATATATATATATATATATATATATATATATATTCAATTTCACTGTTATTTGTATAGCACTTTTACAATGTAGATTGTGTCAAAGCAGCTTCACATAGGAGATCATAGTGAATTGGAACAGTGTCAGTCCAGTTTTCAGTGTTGAAGTTCAGTTTAGTTCAGTTCAGTGTGGTTTAATAATCACTACTGAGAGTCCAAACACTGAAGAGCAAATCCATCCATGCGCAGCTCTACAGATCCCGAACCATGCAAGCCAGTGGCGACAGCAGAGAGGAAAACACTTCACCAATTGGCCAAAGTGAAGAATTAAAAAACATGAAGAGAAACCAGACTCTGTTGGGCACGAACATTTCTCCGCTGGCCAAATGTCTTGTGCAGAGCTGCAGTCTAGGCGCCGGAGGGTGGAGAACGCTGGACCTCAGCAAAGACTCGTCTGTCCCTGGAGCATCACAGGAATCAGTCTCATGCTCTCCACTCCTCCGTGACCACCACAGCAGCTGCTCAGGATACGGTCTGGTCCAGGATTATGGAAACCTTTGGATCATCTCGTCACAGGTCTTGGATCACGTCAGTGGCGCTGCATAGTCTGAGGGCCTCAGGGATGAGTGTCCCCAGGTGGAAATAGAGAATAAAGAGAAAAATAAATTAGTGAATATAGACGAGATGCAGAAACCTGTGTGGAGCACACTCATGTATCATACCGCTAAGTGATGCACTGAGTGTACGCTTTACTAAACAGACAGGTCTTTAATCTAGTTTTGAACTGCGAGAGTGTGCAAGAGTGTGAGCCTCGGACATCATCAGCAAGGCTATTCCAGAGTTTAGGAGCCATAAATGAGAAGGCTCGACCTCCTTTAGTGGACTTTGCTGTTCTAGGTGCTACCAGAATCCCTGAGTTTTGAGATCTTAAAGAGCGAGTTGGATTGTAGCGAGACAGAAGGTTGGTTGGATAAACAGGAGCTCGATTATTTAGAGCTTTATAGGTGAGAAGTAATATTTTAAATTCAATACGAAACTGAACAGGCAGCCAGTGTAAGGAGGATAACATTGGGGTGATATGATCATATTTTCTAGACCTGGTCAGAACTCTGCAAACAGAGCATTACAGTAATCCAGCCTAGAGTTCATAAAAGCATGGACTAGCTTTTCTGCATCAGAGATGGATAGCATACTTCGTGATTTAGTGATATTTCTCAGATGAAAGAAGGCAGTTTTTGTGACATGGGATATATGATTTTCAACAGTTAGATTGCTGTCTAATATAACACCCAGATCTTTTATAGTAGAGCTTGTGTGTATCTTTTATACATACATACATACATACATACATACTCCCTCTCACACACCTTAATAGAGGATGCTGGTGCATTACAGTAATCCAGTCTAGAGCTCATAAAAGCATGGACTAGCTTATCTGCAAGGTCATTTTTTGCTGTATTTCCTATTTATAATTGCATAAACAGCCCTTGGGAGATTTATTTATTTATTTATGTATGTATGTTTAATGTGTATGTGATGATTGTTCAGGTCAGTTCTCGTTACCCATTGACAAAAGGCAGCTGTATGAGTTCGACATCCGCATTCCTCTGCTGGTTCGGGGTCCAGGAATCAAAGCCAAACAAACACTTCAGGTCAGACCACTGAGACACACACACACACACACACACACACACACACACACACACACACACACACACACACACACATATATATATTTATGCACATAAATAAGCTATTTCTGCATCCCAGATCACATACCTGTGCACTGTTCTGTCATTTGGTTGTGTAAATTGTATGTGCATTCACACTGAAATATTATAAATAGTGTATAATTGTGTAGTGTATAAGTGCATTACTGCATAAGGGTATTAGCGTATATTGTAGTGCATATGTACATCGTGTGTAAGGGCATCGGTGTGTAGGGGTATTAGTGTCTAAATGCTTAGTGTATAAGTACATAAGTGTACAGTGTGTCATTTGGGACCCAGCTTCTAGTAATGGATGTCTGTGCAGTCTCCAGTGCTGAATATTGATCTCCCGATGACGATCCTGGACATCGCTGGAGTCAATCTGTCCACCGTCAACATGGACGGACAGTCCTTCCTGCCGCAGATGGTGAATAATCTTCAGCTCATCTTTATTTCTATAGCATGTTTACAATGTAGATTGTGTCAAAGCAAGTTTACACAGATGCTTCAGTCCAGTGTTCAGAGTGTGTGTGTGTGTGTGTGTTTGTGTGTGTGTGAAGGCCCCGTCCCTGCGTAACGGCACCGAGCGGCCCTTCTTCCTGGTGGAGTACACGGGTGAGGGATACTCGTCTCAGGACCCCAGTTGCCCCAAACTGGGCCCCGGCCTCGCTGTGAGTCTCAGTGTGCACGCACACACACACACACACACACACACACACACACGCACACGCACACATACACACACACGCGTGTATATTCATTCATTTTTCTTTAGCTTAGTCCCTGATTCATCAGGGATCTCCACAGCGGAATGAACTGCCAACTATTCCTGCATATGTTTTACACAGCGAGTGCCCTTTCAGCTGCAACCCAATTCTGGGAAACATCCATACACACTCATTTACACACACACACACACACACACACACACACACACACACACACTCACACTCATACACTACGGCCAGTGTAGTTGATCAATTCCCCTATAGCGCATGTGTTTGGACTGTGGGGGAACCGGAGCACCCGGAGGAAACCCACACCAACACGGGAAGAGTTGACACATAATAAATCTATTGAGTTTCCAGCCACAGGAAGTGACATCACTTGGATCGAGTCACATGCTTGAGTTGAGCAAAATTTAGAGACGTTGCTTTTTTTATTGTTAAAGTTACAAATATTTAAGAAAAGAATAAAGTTTCACAGGAGGCTGGATTATTTTGTCTTCAGTGTTGTGTGATTATCAGGATATTGTGATATGAGATTTGTCATTTTTCCCAGCCCTAACACACACACACACACACACACACACACACATGATCCAGCAGCGTCTGCTCTGTGTTCCAGGAGTGTTTTCCAGACTGTGTGTGTGAAGACGCCTTTAACAACACCTACGCCTGCGTCAGGACGCTCAAAGGCGCAAACCTGCAGTACTGCGAGTTCGCCGACAATGAGGTGTGTGGGGTTTTTGTTTACAATCTTATTATATTCATATTAATATTATTATTATTATATTGTTTATTATTATTATTATTATTATTATTATTATTATTATTATTATTATTATTATTATTATTATATTGTTGTTTTATTATTATTATTATTATTATTATATTGTTTATTATTATATTCTATTTGTTATATTCTATATATTATATTATTATTATTATATTATTTTATTATTATTAGTATTATTTTATTATTATTATTATTATTGTTGTTGTTATTATTATATTATTATTAGTGTTTATTATTATTATTATTATTATTAGTGTTTATTATTATTATTATTATTATTATTTTATTATTATATCATTATTTATTATTATATTGTGTTTATTATTATTATTATTTTATTATTATATCATTATTTATTATTATATTCTATTTATTATATTCTATATATTATATTATTATTATATTATGTTATTATATTATTATGTTATTATTATTATTATTATTTTATTATTATTTATTATTATATTCTATTTATTATATTCTATATATTATATTATTATTATGTTATTATATTATTATTGGTGTTTATTATTATTATTATTAGTGTTTATTATTATTATTATTATTATTTTATTATTATTATTGGTGTTTATTATTATTATTATTAGTATATTGTTTTATTATTATTATTATTATTATTATTATTATTATATTGTTTTATTATTATTATTATTATTATTATTTTATTATTTATTATTATATTCTATATTATTATTATTATATTATTATTTATGAATGAATGAAGTAAATAATGCTGAATTAAATCTGTGTGTTTGTGCTGCAGGCGTTTGTGGAGATGTACAACCTGACGGCAGATCCTCATCAGCTGGAGAACATTGTGAAGAAAGTAGATCCGTCACTGCTGCAGATCATGAACCAGCGGCTGATTAAACTACAGTCCTGCGCTGGAGACACCTGCAGAAACATCAGATGAGGATGATGATGATGAATACCGCAGGCAAACCTCACATACAAATCAAGATCTGCTGCTTTATTCATACACACACACACACACACACACAACAACAACACACACAAACACACACACACACACACACTCATACACACTCAGAGAAAACAACAACAATGATCCGCTTTGGTTTTATTTTGGTAATATGCTCATGTTAAACTCTCCTGCAAGTAAACAGGTACTTTTAACCATGTTTTGAATACATTCACCAGAACTCTGGGTCTAGCAGGAACACTTTTAGCTTAGCTTAGCATAGATCATTGAATTGTATTAGACCATTAGCATCTCACTCAAAAAAAAATGTGTTTTTTTTAAGCTCAATTTTTAAACTTAACTGGTCTGTAATATCAAGTAATAAGATGGAAAATGAAAAGTTGCTATTTTCTAGGCTACACGCTAAGCTAGTTACCTAGCTATTTTGAGGCTTTGCGTATTATTTTTCCGCTTGGTGCATGATGTAGCTACAGAAGAGTTAAGCTTTAACTAAATTATGGAAGCTCTTTGGTAATTTTTTTTTTCAGTGAGATGCTAATGGTCTAATCTGATTCAATAAATTATGCTAAGCTAAGCTAAAAGTGCTCCTGTTAGACCAGAGATTGACTAAATGGCTTAAAATGTGGCGAAACACTCCTGTTTAACTGCAGGAGAGTGGTAAATGAGCACATTTCAATTACATTAAATCATAAATTTAGTTCCAAAAAAAAAGTTAACAAAGTTCATCATTGATTCATATAATGCAGATATTTAAATAAGTCATCAGCTACAGGCACTTTGAGAGTCAAAGAAAACAACAGCAAAATAAATCCCTGTGGCTCAGTGAAACCATGTGCAAGAAAATTAAACATTATTCACAGCATAATTATCTTAAAGGGCCAGCGCAACAAAACTGGATTTAAAGGGGCAGCACACCCAAAAATGAAACTCACATTCAACCAATTTCTGGTTCTAGCAGGAGCACTGTTAGCTTAGCTTTGCATAGATCATTGAATCAGATTAGACCATTAGCATATCACTCAAAAATGACTAAAGAGTTTGGATAATTTAAACATTAGACATTATTACTACATAACTATCTTAAAGGGCCAGCTCACCCAAAAATAAATCTCTGTTTTCATGTAGTTAATATGATTCACATTAGTCAACCTTTAAAGCGTCATTTTAAGCAACAAAACTGGAGAATATGTTCAAGCCTGTTCGCACAAAACTGGATTTAAAGCGCCAGTACACCCAAACATGACATTAACTGACTTCTTCCAAACCTGTTTGAGTTTCTGATGAACAAAAAACCCCAAGATATTCTAAAGAAACAGCCATTGACTTCCTTACTAGGTACAAAAAGTACTTTTTTTTCAAGCATTCCTTAGAATATCTTGTTTTTTGTTTTAACAGAAACTCAAACAGGTTTTAAAGAAGTCAGTAAATGATGACAAAAGTTTTATATTTGTGTGTGCTGGCCCTTTAAATCCAGTTTTAGCAAACAGGCCTAAACATGTTCACCGGTGTTGCTGCCTCTAATGACGCTGTCTCTTTAAAACTCTTTTATATCGCTTAAATAATGTAAATAATGTTCAGCTTTTGGCACAGATCAATCAATTTGCTTTATAAAAGCTCCATGTATGGTCACGGGGGAAAAACAACAATAATATTACATCAGTTTAAAGAAACACTCCACTTTTTATGAAAAGATGCTAATTTTACACTTTCCTAAAGTCAAACAGGTCAGTTTTACCATGTTTTGATTAAATTCAGCCAATCTCTGGGCCTAAAAGGACCAATTTTAGTTTAGCTTAGCATAGATCATTAAATCAGATTAGACCATTAGCTTCTCACTCAAAAATGACTAAAGAGTTTGGATGATTATGGATTGGATTGGATTGTCAAATTGAATTATTAGACATTATTTACAACATAATTAACTTAAAGGGCCAGCGCACCCACAAAATGAAACTTCTTCATTTACTGGCTTCCTTAAACCTGTTTGATTTTTCTGTTGAACACAAAAACAAGATATACTGAAGAATCAAACATTGACTTCTGTAGTAGGAACAAAAAATACTCCTTTTTATTTCTAGCATTCCTCAGAATATCTTGTTTTTTTTTTTTGCTCAACAGAACCTCAAACAGGTTTAAAGAATCCAGGTAATGATGACAGATGTTACAATTTTGTGTGCGCTGGCCCTTTAAATCCAGTTTTGTGCAGACAGGCTTGAACATGTTCACCAGTGTTGCTGCTTATAATGACGCTGTTTCTTTAAAACTCTATTTTATCAGTTAAATAGTGTAAATAATGTTCATCCTTTTGCACAGATCAATCATTTTTCTTCATTAGAGCCTCATGTATCATCACAGGGGAAAAACAACAATAATGTTGGATCAATTTAAAGAAGCACTCCTTAAGTTTTTTTTTAAATATGCTCACTTTACACCCTCAAAGCCAAACAGCTGAGTTTTACCATGTTTTCAATACATTCAGCCAATCTCTGGACCTAAAAGGAGCACTGTTAGCTTAGCTTAGCATAGATCATTGAATCTGTTTAGACCATTAGCATCTCACTCAAAAATGACTAAAGAGCTTGGCTGATTTAAACATTGGACGTTATTACTACATAATTATCTTAAAGGGCCAGCGCACCCAAAAATGAAACTTCTGTCTCATTCAGCCGATCTCTGAGTTAGCTTAGCTTAGCATAGATCATTGAATCGGATTAGACCATTAGCATCTCGCTCACAAATGACTAAAGAGTTTGGCTGATTTAAACATTAGACATTATTACTAAATAATTATCTTAAAGGGCCAGCGCACCCAAAAATGAGACTCAATGTATGGTCACAGGGATTACTTTAGTTCTGCTTGTATGTGTGTTTTGTGGTTATAAAAGTACAGATTGACCAGCGTTTTCTGAATCACTAATTAGTTTCAGCTAAAATTCAGTAAAGGATGACAGAAGTTTGATTTTTTTTTTGTGTGTGTGTGTGTGTGTGTGTGTGTGCGCGCGCGCTGGCCCTTTAAATCCAGTTTTGTGCAGACAGGCCTGAACATGTTCACCAGTGTTGTTGCTTGTAATGACGCTGTTTCTTTAAAACTCTTTTATATCGGTTAAATAATGTTCAGTTTTTGGCACAGATCAATCATTTTGCCTAATAAAAGCTCAATGTCTTGTCACGGGAAAAACAACAATAATATTACATCAGTTTAAAGAAACACTCCACTTTTTATGAAAATATGCTAATTTTACACCCTCCTAAAGTCAAACAGGTCAGTTTTACCATGTTTTGAATACAATTAGCCGAACTCTGGGTCTAGCAGGAGCACTGTTAGCTTAGCTTAGCGTAGATCATTGAATCGGATTAGACCATTAGCATCTCACTCAAAAATGACTAAAGAGTTGGGCGGATTTGAATATTAGACAATATTTACAACATAATTATCTTAAAGGGTCAGCGCACCCTGAAACTTCTGTCTTCATTTAGTTCAAATTATTTACATTATTCAACCTTTAAAGAAACAGCGTCATTATAAGCAACAAAACTGGATTTAAAGGGCCAGCTCATCCAAAAATCCAACTTCTGTCACATTCAGCCAATCTCTGGGTCTAACAGGAGCACAGTTAGCTTGGCTTAGCACAGATCATTGAATCGGATTAGACCGATAGCATATTACTCCAAAATGACTAAAGAGTTTGGCTGATTTAAACATTAGACTTAAATTACAACATAATTATCTTAAAGGGCCAGCGCACCTAAAAATGAATCTGAGCTCAATGTATCATCACAGGGATTACTTTAGTTCTGCCTGTATGTGTGATTTTTGACTCTAAAAGTACAGATTGACCTGCATTTTCTGAATCACTAATGAGTTTCAGCTCATTTTACTGAAGGAAATAAAGCGGAGGGTAAATAAACAGCAAATGTTTATTTATTTTTTTGGTGAACTGTCTCTTTAAAAAGACTAGAAATTAAAATTCTGCACACTTTACTCACCATTATGCTAGAAACACAAAAGTGGACGGATTTACATTCTATGCCAAAGAAAACATAGAGGTTTGTGTGAGTAAATATTGAGGGAAAGGTGTTAAAGTGAATGTATTTACAGCCTGATGGTAGTTTTGGCTGCAATAAATCATTTCTGAGGGATTTCTGGAAGTTTACTGGCTTCACTTCCACCTCATGCCATTGATTTTTCAGCACTTTTCACGGTAAATGAACCAGATGGAGTGTAATTTACCCTGTGCGTTTTAAGTTGTTTGGTTTGATCTTTATGTCTGTGGTTGTTTTATGATGTTTTTCTTCATGTACTGTGAATTAAACTTTACTGTGAGCAGATCTGCTGGTTTTAATGCGTGTAGCTTTAGCAAAGGGAGATGGTCGGATGTTGAAGGGAATTGTTGATTTTAATCTGAAGCCTGATTGTGCCTGATGTTTTGCACTAAAGCAGTGTCTGTGCCTTTTTGTACGATACAAATGTCTAATTTTGACTAATCAATAAATTTACTACAAAGAAAGAAATGATTTGTTTGATGCAAGTTGTTGCAACTGTTCTGTCGCAGAAAAGATTCATTGAATTCTTTAAAATGCATTGCTTTAAATAAGGGAAAATAACTCAAACTTTTATTTTACAATAAGTTTAATAATGCATTAAAGATAGAAGCATTTGAAATTGTTGTTGTATTTTTTGCATGTAAAATAATCAGTTCTGTGAGTGAAAATGCCTTGTTGATGCCAGAGGTCAGAGGAGAATGGCCAGACTGGTTCCAGCTGATAGAAAGGCAACAGTAGGCAGGCTGGTGGTGGTGGTGTAATGGTGTGGGGGAGATTTTCTTTAGGTCCATTAGTACCAATTGAGCATCAACGCCACAGCCTACCTGAGTATTGCTGCTGACCATGTCCATCCCTTTATGAGCACAGTGTCTCCATCTTCTGATGGCTACTTCCAGCAGGATAACGCAGCATGTCATAAAGCTCAATCATCTCAGACTGGTTTCTTGAACATGACGATGAGTTCACTGTACTCAAATGGCCTCCACAGTCACCAGAGCTCAATCCAATAGAGCTGCTTTGGGATGTGGTGGAACGGGAGATTGGTATCATGGATGTTCAGCCGACAAATCTGCAGCAACTGTGTGATGCTATCATGACAATATGGAGCAAAATCTCTGAGCAATATTTCCAGTAGCTTGTTGAATCTGTGACATAATGGTTTAAGGCAGATCTGAAGGCAAAAGGGGTCTAACCTGATTCTAGGTGTGCCTAATAAAGTGGCCAGTGAGTGTAGTTCTTTTATTCGTGTATTATAATCTTTAGTTTTATTATTTTTATTTTAATAAACATAATTTGTTACAACTTTAATGACACTTTTTATGATTTAATATGTTAAATGTTTAAAAAAAATTTAATAAATCCTTGAAACTAAAAGGCAAAGCACATCCACATGAAACATCTATAGCACACTAAAATAATAATAGCAATAATAAAATAAAATCATTTATTGGTTAAAAAAATGGTAAACCTTTTTTTTCCTCGTCTGTTCATGGACAAGTCAGATGTAATAACAATAACTAATATTAGTACATGATTTCTGAAATACTTTTTCAAAATTTTGATTGGTCAATCACATCACAGTGTGTAATTTATATCATGGTTTCTGCACTTTCAAGACTTTTTAAGACATTTTTATGACCATTATGAATTAAATGTATTTAATTTAAAATAGGAAGAAGTTTTTCAAATATCCTAGATGGAAAAGATTTTTATTTACCCTATCAATTTTTTTGTTCAATTTTTTTTTATTATTTAATACATTATACTAAAAAAAAGTAATATTTTACATAACATTTTTTTTTTGCAAAATATTTTAAATATTGTGTAAAAACAAGCAAGCTCTAGTTGTATACACATGTTTTACAACATAAACTTTCTTTAAAATAAAATAAAAAAAAACAAATCTTTTAAAAGTTTTAAAAACTATAATAAACTTAATTTATGCACAACAATCTGTCCAGGTCAGTGTCTTCAGCAGTAAATACATGGAGAACTTTTAAGCAAATCTTATTGTAAGGAAAATAATTAAACCATTATTATAAATAAAGTTACAAATGACCTTTTTTAATAAAAAGTTTAAAGTTTTATTGAGATGGATTGTTGGTGATTGTATGGGTTTTGGCCAGATTTGGTAGCAATACATAAACAAAGGAAAATTAAGACCTGTTTAAAAAAGATTTAAGACCCACAGCACAATATTTCAGTACATTTAAGACTTTTTAAGGCCTAAACTTTGGATTTTAAGATTTAAGACTTTTAAAGAACCTGCAGAAACCCTGACATATATATGTGTGTGTGTGTGTGTGTGTGTGTGTGTGTGTGTGTGTGTGTGTGTGTGTGTGTGTTTATATTAGTGCCATCAAACGATTAATCACATCCAAAATAAAAGTTCAGAATTACTAAATATATTTGTTTTGTGTCCAGTAGCCGTATAATAATCAGCATATTGTACATCCAGCTGGTTACTATTGCAGGAAAAAACCCTTCAGCTGCAGATAAACCTGTCAGGTTCTGTTCTGTGATAACCGCCGGCTGGATGTACTTTATACTTTACTTATATAGTGGAAAATTAAATGATGTCATTCATAATCCACTGCTTTTTTTGCATGAAACAAAAACATTTATTTAGAACAAAAAAACCCAATGCATGATCTTTGACACTGCCGTCATGTGAATATATCATGTTCCTGATGTTTTCTGAAGGGCTTGTATTGAGCACAGTTTGTCAGAGGTATTTATAGACCACTTTCTCGTCCACTAGCTGGAGCTCCATCTTCACAGGACACTTGTAGAAGTGTGAGAGCAGCTCTTCCGTGTAGCCCAGCAGAAAGTAGAATTTGCTGGGCAGCAGTTTCTGGATCATGACGGCGCAGATGATCAGGACGTTTCCCCTGCGCTTGATGACCAGCTCGTCCGCCAGACAGCTGTGAAACGTGCCGAAGATGAAGCGGCGGATGAAGACGTCCTCCAGCACGCGCTCTGCTGCTCCGCCCTCAGCGTGGAGGTTTCCTGCGGGACCGCAAATACAGCGTATTAGTGACGCACGCTTCAACAACATGAATTTTAGAGGAAATTTTTACGAGTCATTTATTTTGTATCAGTGGTTCGGAGTGAGTATCAAATTGGAAGGTCATGTGAACTCCGTAAACGAGGTTTTATGTTTAAGTTTTTAAAATTCAATGTCTCTCCACTAGGTGGCGATTGTAGAACAAATATTCAAATTAATTGCTTCTGAACTTTTATGAATGTTTTATTTTGAATATGTTATTCGGAGTGCGTATCACATTGGCACGGTCACATGATTTCAGTAAGCGGAGCTTCGATACATCATTACCGTTTTCGAAAATTCAATGTTTCTCCACTAGGGGGCGATTGTAGTACAAATATTCAAATAAACAGCTTCAAACCTTTATAACTATTATTTTGAATCAGTGGTTCCAAGTGTGTGTTAAATTGGCAAGGTTGTGTGATTTCAGAAAACAAGGTTTTGTTACGTCTTTACGGTTATATTTCACCTTTGTTACATCATTACTGTAAATCACTGCTTCATGAAACTTTGAAATCTTTATAAATCTTCAAATCAGATGTTTGGAGTGCGTATCCAATTTGCAAGATCATATGATTTCAGTAAACGAGGCTGTTACGTCATTACGGTTTCAAAAGTCAGTATTTCTCCACTAGAGGGCGATCTGTGTACAAATATTAAAATCAATATAAATCATGTGGCTTTACTCAAATCGCCCCCTAGTGGTGAATCACTCCTTCATGAAGTTTCGAAATCTTTATGAATGTTTTATTACTAATCAGTGCTTCTGAGTGCGTATCAAATTGGTAATATCTCGCGATTTCAGCAAACAAGGCTTTTTTACGTCATCATTGTTTCGGAAATTTTATATTTCCTCAATAGGGGGAATTGTATAAAAATAAAATCCATATGAATTATGCAAATTTACAAATCTTTTTTTCGAATCAGTAGTTTCAGTAAACGAGGCTTTGTTACCGTTTCAAAATGTCAAATAATTCAAATATTTCTCCACTAGGGGGCGATGTGTGTAAAAATATTAAAATCAATATAAATCATGAGATTTCAATCAGATCGCCCCCCAGTGGAGAATGCCTCCTCCATGAAGTTTCGAAATCTTTGTGAATGTTTTATTACGAGTCAGTGCTTCGGAGTGCGTATCAAATTGGTAAGATGGCGTGATTTCAGTAAACAAGGCTTTGTTATGTCATCATTGTTTCGGAATTTCAATACTTCTCCACTAGGGGGTGAATCGTGTGAAAATAAAATCCATATGAATCATGCAAATTTACTCAGATCGCCCCCCCCCGGTGAAGAATCACTGCTTCATCAAGCTTTGAAATCGTTTTTTGAATCAATAGCTTCAGTAAAAGAGGCTTTGTTACCGTTTCAAAACGTAAAAAACTTCAATATTTCTCCACTACAGAACGATGTGAATAGAAACATTAAAATCCAGATAAATCATGCGGCTTCAATCAGATCGCCCCCCAGTGGAGAATCGCTTCTTTATGAAGCTGCGAAATCTTTATGAATGTCTTATTTTGAATCAGTGGTTCGGAGTGCATTTAAATTTTGCAAGATCACGTGATCTCAGTAAAGAGGCTTTGTTACGTCATTACAATTTCAAAAGTACAATATTTCTCCACTAGGGGGCGATCGAATAACAAATATACAAATCAATGAATGGGAGAACAAAACGAGAGACGGGTCTGTCTGAAATACGAGAAACTCCCGGGAGTGTCAGCAGGTATGTCCCCCGCCCCCCAGTGGTGAAAAACTGTTTCATCTGTCAGCTATTTGTCCTCAAGTATATAATTATAACCATATAATAATGTTGTACCGGTGTGCTGTGAGAGCCAGCCCTTCCTGTGGCTGATGTGATGAGGGTGATGAGCCTGTTCATACGTCAGCGGACGATCTCCTTTACCCACACGAATACGAGCCGCGCGGTTCTGAAACACATTCAGGAATAACATTCATTCACATATGATGATACTATTAGAGCTGCACAACATATTCAGAGGGGGAAAGCCCCGCCCACTAGTGTCCATCTCTCCATCTCATTAGCATCTCCAGCAGCCCTGAGTGAGAAGCAGCCGTCTGTCCATTAGCCATTAGAGTGTTTGAGCTGCTGAAGATGATGTCAGCATAGACTAAGAGGATTATAGATGTGGAGTTCTAGATGAACAGAGACAGGAGCCACATAGACTGACAGAAGCATCAACACACACTGACCAATGACAACATACACACTGCTGCTTCACATCTGTCGCACAGCCATCTGTAGCTCCGCCCTCTTTTGAATCTCATTTGCATTTAAAGGGACAGTCACCAAAACGCCACAATTAGGATCAAAGCTGAAAGGGTCAGTTTCAGAGAGCTAAAGTTAAAAACTAAAAACAAAGTAAATAAACAGTTAAATAAAACTTACGCTACTGTTACGAGCTTTAGGAATCTGAAACATTTGTAATATTTGTTCTCACTACAGTATTGGGTAATTTGTTTATATTACTATAGTTATTCTGTTACCATAGCAACTATTGTTTATAGTGTTAACTATAAATGACTATAGTATTTTTTCATGCGAGTAATATATAATAAAAGATGCTACTGTTTATTTATGCATCTGTACTGTATATTCATGTTTATTTTAGAGATGTAGAAATGTTTAGACAACACAATGCCAATTTTTTTTACTTTAGAAGAGTTCAGAAATTGATATTTGATATGAAAAAACACAATGGCTCAGTGGTTTACACTGTGGCCTCACAGCAAGAAGGTCTCTGGTTTGAGTCCCGGCTGGGTCAGTTGGTGTTTCTGTGTGGAGTTTGCATGTTCTCCCTGTGTTGGCGTGGGTTTCCTCCAGATGCTCCGGTTTCCCCAACAGTCCAAACACATGCGCTATAGGGGAACTGATCAACTATACTGGCCATAGTGTATGAGTGTGTGTGTGAATGAGTGTGTATGGGTGTTTCCCAGCACTGGGTTGTGGCTGGAAGGGCATCTACTGTGTAAAACATATGCTGTAATAGTTGGCAGTTCATTCCGCTGTGGCGACCCCAGATTAATAAGAGACTAAGGCCCCGTTTACACTAGTGTGTTTTAGTTTGAAAATGCATAAGTTTTGCTACGGTTACGCCATCCGTCCACACTACGCCGGAGTTTTCGAGCGCCGAAAATGGAGCGTTTTGGAAATGCTGGAGAGGCCGTGTTCATTCTGAAGCGCTGCTGCTCCGTCTCAGTGTGGATGGGGGAAAACGGAGACATCTGAAAACGGAGGCGGGGCTGCAGACATTCACTACCTGATTGGGGCTTTTGTGTCATTGCGTATTCTTCCCTTATTCGTCAAGCCTCCATCACATGACTATAACACATGACTATAACGCTACCGGAAGACAGCAGACCAGCCTTCACTGTAAACAACAACATGGACACAGAAATGGGAGCGCTGTTTGCACTATTGTCTGTTTTAGGTGTCATTGTGTAGTTATTCATTTGTTACGTTTAGTAACTCGACCTCGTCGTCTGTCCACAAACAGACCTCTCTTGCTTTCTTTGCCATCGCCTTTATTGTTCAACCGGCGTTTGTTGACTAACAATAACCAAATGCCGAGCGAGACACATGCTTCCTGTTTATACTAGAGCGCGCATGCCCAGAGTGTGCGAATGGTCACGTGATATACGTTTTTGGTGGCGTAGTGACGGAGATATGTTCAGAAACGCTAGTGTGGACACAGATCGATTTTGATCTAAAACACCGTTTTAAAACTCAAACTCACTAGTGTAAACAGGGCCGAAGCCGAAGGAAAATGAATGAATGAAAAATCAAAGCATTAGATATTATTTTCTGTAAAAATGAGCAGTGTGTTTCACCTTCAGACAGGCTGCAGTGGAGTGAATACTCCTGAAACACCCAGCAGAACTGAAGACCTGTGAAAACACACACACACACACACACACACACACACACGAGAGAGAGAAAGACCAATAAAGACATAAGTGATGTGCTTACAAAAACACCACACACACTGATTTCCAGACTTATAAATGAATTGCTAAATATTACTTATAGTTTCTTGTATTTTTATTATATTTATTTTGATGTCTACTACTATGTAATTTATTTTTAAATGTTCTATTCAATGTAAACATTACAAATGCTTCGGTAACAGCCAATAAAACAAGTTGGAATTGAACTGAGAGATAGACATTATTATGCAGTAATCATAGAGTATTTTTCATATTATTTATTAAATTACTCATTAAATTGTATTTTATTAGCATCTACTCCTAGCTCAACCCTCACAGTAATGTAAAAACAGTAATTACACAGAGTATTATTCATATTATTTATTAAATTACACATTAATTGTATTGTATTAACATTTACCCCTAAACCAACCCCTCACCGTACTATAAAAACAGTAGTTATAATGAGTATTATTCAAATTATCTATTAATCTACACATTCATTTGTATATTATTAGGGTTTACTCCTACCTCAACACTTACAGTAATGTAAAAAGAGAAATTATAACGAGTATTATCATATCATTTATTAAATTTTATTTTATTAGCGTCTACCCCTAAACCTAGCCCTCAGTAATGTGATGTACAGTGTCACAAAACATTGCTATATTGATCCGCAGCTGTATCCCCTCTAGATTTCACATAGAGTCTACTGCTGCAGTTCACGTCAATCCAGACTCACTAATCGATCATGCTAATGATACATCAGAATCACAAGACAGTAATGCTCATTATCAATACAAACAGAGGATCAGTTGTAAACGCAGAATCTAAATCTTACCGACAGCAGTTTAGTCTGTCTGATCAAGGACGCCGCCATGTTTCCTCCTCTAAAGCGCAGAAGAAGAGCGACAGTACCGCCACCTGCCGCTCCGGGTGTAAGCAAAGTCTTTTGTATAACACATTATTTAAGCAATTTAATCTTCTTTTATTTTTTCATAATCGACATTTTGTTTATATATGTTCACTGAGCTCTTAAATAATTCTGTCATCTGCATTTCTAGTGTTTTTGTGAGATAAACCTCTGATGTTGCTGTGTTGTTATTGTCAGTTTGACGTATTCTGCTGCAGTGTTGTTGCTTCTTATGTACTTAATACATTTCAGTAAATGTTTTAAACTAATCATATGTATATATTCAGTGTTTAACAGTGTTTACAGAAGCACAAATAACAAACATATTAATTATACATGCTAAAAAACTACACTAAAATGAACTTAAAAATTAAACTAAAGGGTATTCTATTAATTTAAAGCTCTTGAATAAAATAAACAGTCTTATTCCTGATTTAGACAACTTTTTTATTATATATTTTTAATTAATACAGTTGTTTTAGCTTTCTTATTCGGCAGATAGATTTACAAAAGGTTTTGAGCTTCCTAAAATTGTTTATAAGTAATGTTTTTAATGTTTTTTATTTTTATTTTTGCAGTATAACGCAAGTAATAATAAGGTAAAATTCAAATAAACACGTTTATCACAATTTACAGAGTACACATAATTAAGATAACCAATAAATAAACATTACAGTAAATAAAACACACAAAACAAACAAAATACACTACAGAATCTTCTATCAATTATAATGAAATATTCACAGTAAAATCTAAATTCTATTTGGAAAACCAAAAACAATGGTTTTGTTTAAAGGCTGTTTATAAAAGTAACCTACCTACTTTTAACCTACAAACTTTTATTTTGTAGTGCGTGCGCCGGAAGTGCGGCAGCTGTTGCTTCCCCTGAAGAATCTGTTGTTGTTGTGATTGTCTCGCTGCAGTTCTCCGCCGCTCTACAGTGTGTTTTCGGTGTATTTTCGGTGTATTTTCGGTGTTTTTCCTCCGCGTTTCCCGCTCGCAGTCATGTCTTCCCCCGTGGAGATGACGGAGCTCTATGATAACGCTCTGTTAGGGATCCTGCAGCACGTCGGAAACGTCCAGAACTTCTTGCAGGTTTATTTCGGTTTCCTCTACCGAAAGACGGACTTCTACCGGCTGCTGAGCGGACCACACGACCGCATGGGCTTCCCTCCAGGAGCCGCCGAGCAGATGGTCTTCAAGGTAAACATTTCAGCTTCACACACCCCGGGGAAACTGTAAATAACACGGGATATACACATGTGCTGTGGTCGGACATGTTAGCACCATGGTACTATAGTGAAACGTGGGATTACTGCTGTGCAGTATTTGAGGTCAAATTGACTTAATATTCACACATTCAGACTTTCTGCTTAATAATATAATCTCAGAAAAACTTTCTTTGCCAATTATGAACAGAGAAGTCATATTAGCAGCCAATGCTATCAAAATACAACATAGTTTTGAATCAAATCAATAGTGCTAGTGTTGTTTTGAAGTCACTCCTAACTTACATGTGATTTTAGACTGAATATTCAAAATACCATGGTATAAACAATATAAGGAGTATTTTATAGGGTTTCACTGAAGGAATGTATGAATATAAAACTAATTTTACCTTAATTTGTACAGTATATATAGTGCTTAATAATATATAGTCCTGGGTACTGTGCCTGCCATGGTAGATATTCCCTGATGATACCCAGCTATACCTCTCTTTTCATTCTGATGATCCCTCAGTTCCAGCTCGCATCTCAGCCTGCCTGTCGGACATTTCACACTGGATGAAAGATCATCATCTTCAGCTGAACCTCGCAAAAACGGAAATGCTTGTAGTTTCTGCCAACCCGACTCTACACCATAACTGTTCAATCCAGATGGACGGGGCAACCATTACTGCATCCAAAATGGTGAAAAGCCTTGGAGTACGGATTGATGACCAACTAAACTTCTCTGGCCACATTTCTAGAACTGCTCGATCTTGCAGATTCGCACTCTATAACATCAGAAAGATCCGACCCTTCCTATCTGAACATGCAGCTCAACTCCTTGTTCAAGCTCTTGTTCTCTCCAGACTGGACTATTGCAACTCTCTACTAGCCGGGCTTCCAGCTAACTCTATCAAACCTCTTCATCTGCTTCAGAACGCAGCAGCACGAGTGGTCTTTAATGAAGCTAAACGAGCACATGTCACTCCGCTGCTCATCCGTTTGCACTGGCTGCCAGTTGCTGCTCGCATCAAATTCAAAGCTCTGATGTTTGCCTACAAAGTGACTTCTGGCTTTGCTCCTTCTTATCTGCTCTCACTTCTGCAGATGTATGTGCCCTCCAGAAACTTGCGTTCTGTGAATGAACGTCGCCTCGTGGTTCCATCCCAAAGAGGGAAGAAATCACTTTCCCGAACTCTCGCGCTCAATCTGCCCAGTTGGTGGAATGAACTCCCTAACCGCATCAGAACGGCATTACTAACATTGCTAATGCTTTTCTTCTTAAACTTTACAGACCTGAAACTCGCCTACAGCACTTCTTCATTGTTGCTCTTATAGTTGTGTAAATTGCTTCCTTGTCCTCATTTGTATGTCACTTTGGATAAAAGCATCTGCTAAACGACTAAATGTAAATATTCAACTTCCCCTTCATCTTCATCAAACCACTCTGTCATCAGTCCTGCTGTGTGTGTTGCTGCATTATCATCCTGATACACTGCACCACCTTCAGGATACAATGCTTAATTAGGGTTGGAACTAAACTGTGCAGAGCTGCGGCCCTCCAGGAGCTGGATTTGACACCTGTGGCCTAGGGAATGCCATGATATTGAGCCCAAACCATCCCTGATCCCCCATGCTTCACTTAGGGCATCAGCAGTCTGGGCGGGACACTTCCTTGGGGCTTCTCCACACCAGCAATGTGAGATAACAAAATCAGCATGGGCAGTTTTGATTTCATCTGTGCTTTAAACAGTTTACTTTATCCATTTTTTTTTATATCAATGTAGCTAATTTATTGAAAAACAGGGGCACTTTTAGCTTAAATTAGCATAATGGATTGGATTTAATCATTAGCATTTGGTTCCAAAAAGAGCTCATTTTCCCATTTAAAGCTTCTGTACTTATATAGTGTAATAAAACGACGGTTTCAAATCATCCTCTGAAAGAAGCTCATTTCTCACGCGATACATAATATCCCTCCGCCTGGTGCAGCAGCACAGTTTCTGGACTATTACACCAGAATGAGAGTCATTTTCCATTGGATTTATTCCTGTAATGGATCACACATTATGGTTTTTTAGGCACAGATCGGACCATTTTTCGGTTTAGCCAAAAAGAGGAGACATGTGGAATTTGCTTTCCATTTATTACAGAAACAGCACTGCAAGACACTTTTGGTTTTATAAAATAAATTAAAAAAGTAATCCGCTGAATAAAATAAACTGTAAAGTATTCAGTGCTGTGAGAAATTCTCTATTACTGCTGCTGTTGCTGATAACGCTACATGTAGAAATCTAACATTATCATTTGTGCAACCCATAGTTGTTTCTAGTCTCATTTTCATTAAATGACTCAGTTATTCACTCATTAATCTTCATATTTCATTGCTATATGATCATTTCTGAAGAATTATTCAGTGGCGTATTTTTGATGGATGTTTGTTGCAAGCTATTGGTTAAATTATGTAATTGCTGCCTACAACTTTCACTTTTGAGCGTCAAGTTAACTGCACATAATTTCAATCTTTGGCATAAACATCAGTGGTTTTATCTAAACTATAAACTTTTCTCCCAGTGCTTCTGTGTTATTTGACTGTTTGTGACTTCATAACTAACTCAAAAGACAAAAAATTCAATCTCTTAATTCAAGCCTTTCCACTGCACACAACATTTCGGCACGACTGTTGGAATACGCCCCCTTGTGGCAGTCGCACAGAATTTTCAGCTCTGACCTGCACCATGGGAGAGAAGCTGTTCTCAATGGCTGTTTCTCAATTCCAAGAACGCAGAGAACAGACTTGTGTTCTTGTGGAGAGCGGTCTTGCCAGGTGTCCTCGGAAGAACGAACTCAGGAGACCGCGAGGGCAGAGAACGCGTCCTTTGAGAATTGAGATGCTGGTCACATGACCTTCACGTGTTTTAAATGGTAAATTATTTAAACATTACAGCACTCATACAACGATTTATTGTTTTTCCCCTTTTCAAAATATATACTTTGCATAAAAACATTATAAATCTATGTTGCACAAATATAAATAAAACAGATTTTAAAACTAATTTCAGCAAACAAACACGGTTAATGTGTTTATTCCTTTATTAAGATGTCCATGGTAATGTTTACTTTTACCGTTTCATTTAGGGAAACTCCTGAGGTAAATAATTCATATCTATGAACTTTAATAATAAATCTAGATAAAATGCAGCGCTTCCCACCTCCAGCCGCAATGACTTCTGGGACTTCCAGACCGAGTTCGGTGCTCAAGTCTGCATCGGTGCGTCCTCGATATCAAGATCACGTCTGGGAAGTGTCACGCGTCCTCCGTACTTGCGGTCTTGAGTATTGGAAAGGAACTTAGGCAGCTGATGATGACGTTGCACGAGAACACGAGGACGCAAGACCGAAATAAAGGAGTACTAAAGCAAGAGCCTTTATTCTCTGTGCGTTCACAGTGGTTAAAGGAATGAATACTAGAAACTCATAGACCGCTAAAAATATTGGATGGAAATTTGGAGACAACATTAAAAAAGTTATATTTTTTACTACTTTATTACTTACATTTATGAACAGAAATGTTTTTTTTAATATAGACTTTTTCTGATAAAAAAAAAAAAATAACCCAATAAACTCCTATTTCTTATCTCGCGCGCATGGACCTGCTTGTACAACACTGGAATACGTCACATCCGGTCGGGCGGTCGCATACGGTCTAGTTGCCGGAGTTCAAATATTTCAACTGATTCGCAGCTCAATTCGGATCCAAATTTTCCGCATACGGAGACAATCGGAACTCCACACAGCTCCCGGACTACTCTCCATTAGAAATGAATGACTTCCAGTCTGTCGCTTGGCGTTTGTCATGTGCAGTGGAAAGAAGGCTTTAGGATTAACAAACATATGAAAATCAGCATCATTTATAACTGATGTTGCGTGGGTGTTGAGATCCTGATCTTTTAATGATTAATGCAGGCTAAACAAGTAATGACAGAAAACACCTTTACTAACCTGAGAAACCCACCACATCCTCAATAACCCACCACATTCAGTCATCATTATATTTACAGGAAAGCCTGAACTCTACCATACATGTGATTTGAATGATGCAAGAGGCAATCTCTCTTCGATCATTACAAATTTAGGATTAATCTATCAGTAAAAAAATTTATTGGCGAGGCAGTGGCGCAGTAGGTAGTGCTGTCGCCTCACAGCAAGAAGGTCGCTGATTCGAACCTCGGCTCAGTTGGCGTTTCTGTGTGGAGTTTGCATGTTCTCCCTGCCTTCGCGTGGGTTTCCTCCGGGTGCTCCGGTTTCCCCCACAGTCCAAACACATGCGGTACAGGTGAACTGGGTAGGCTAAATTGTCAATAGTGTATGAGTGTGAGTGTGAATGTGTGTGTGGATGTTTCCCAGAGATGGGTTGTGGCTGGAAGGGCATCCACTGTGTAAAAACTTGCTGGATAAGTTGGCGGTTCATTCCGCTGTGGCGACCCCGGATTAATAAAGGGACTAAGCCGACAAGAAAACGAAATGAAAAAAATGTATTGTTCTGTGGGTCACTGGTGTTCCGAACTGTTGGTTGTGATCCACAGATAAACCGTGATCCGTTACACCCTTAATTACTGCAGTGCAGTGTTTTATTTCCTGAAGTGTTTCTTAAAGACTCGGGTCATTCTGTGTGCAGACGTTTAAGCTGTTTGAGAAGCTGGCGGAGCAGGACCGCGAGAGAACAGTCAAGCTGATGGAGGAGAAAAGCGCAGCAGCTCCACCTGCTGTTCAGGAGCTAGAGCTTCAGTCGGAGACGCAGGAGAGCAGAGAGACAGAAGACAACACTGCAGCATCAGCATCTTCATCAGCATCTGCAGCATCTTCATCTTCAACAGATGAAAGCAGAAACACTCCAGACGACAACAGCAGCGGTGCAGAGAAAACAGCAGACGCTGACAAAGACAACGTGTATGTGTGCTCTAACATTATTCATTTATTTACAACAGTGTACAGTTCTAGGGAAAAGCTCTTAATTTTGTATGTACACTACCAGTCAAAAGCTTGGGGTCAGTAGGAATTTAAATGCTTTAAAATCAGCTTCTCCTGCTCATCAAGGCTGCATTTATTAAATCACAAATACAGTTTTATATCACATCACAAATACAATATTGTGAACTGTTATTGCACTGTAAAATAACTGTTCAAAAGTAGATTATAATTTATTCCAGTGATTTAAAGATGAATTTTCAGCTTCATTACTCCTGTCTTTAGAGCAACAAGATCCTTCATAAATCACTAATGTGAATTATTATTGTTATTATTATTATTATTATTATTATTAATATTATTTTTAATGGTAATAGGAATAAAACCAATAATGACTGGAGTAATAATTTCATTTAAACTACATACAATAAGTATTAAATAAATATTTATATATATTTATTATTTATATATATATATATATATATATATATATATATATATATATATATATATATATATATATATATATATATATATATATATATATATATATATATATATATAAAAACTTAAAAATTACATTTATTAAATGCTGTCTTGATGAACAGAATAATTGTATTTAAATAATTTAATAAAATTAATAATAATAAAAAAAACAAACAAACTGACCCTTAACTTTTGACTGGTACTGTGTGTGTATATACAGGGCTCGAAATTGCGACCATTTTGATCGCCTATGCGCCTAAAATTTTAAAATATGGCATTTTATTTAGCTTAATTATTATTTTATAAACATCGAAAAGTCCTGTTAATAATGGAGTTGTTGTGCAGTGCCCAGGCTAACGCTGACAGCTACAACGGCGCTGTGCGAGAAAAATACACCTGGTCTCAGGATTACACGGATGTGGAGGTGCGGGTGCACGTGGAGCCTGACATCATCAAAGGCAGACAGGTGAGTGTGTGTGTGGAAGATCAGATCTGTACGTACGTGTGTGTGTGTTTGTGTGTGTGTGTGTGTGTGTGTGTGTGTAATGATCGTATCTCTCTCTCTGTATGTGTGTGCAGGTGTGTGTGGATCTGCAGTCCTCTAGAGTGAGTGTGTCCGTGGCTGATGGAGGATCACGGAAGGTGCTGCTGGATGGTGAATTCACACATAGAATCAACACTGAGAACTCTCTGTGGAGTCTGGAACCTGGACGCTGTGTTCTGGTACGCTCGTTTCTGCAGGATCAGCCAATCAGCACACACACTGAGACTAATAGTGATCTGTAATGTGGTACAAGACAAACCTGGGGTGTATTTATTGTCACTTTATTGTCAGTTGATTGGTTAAATCTTGGTATGTGATCTCTAAACCTGAATATAACCTTAACATAACCTGACCCGGAGCAGTTTAACCATACAGTGCAGAATACCATGATGACAAAGAACAGATAAAGTAAAATTAAACTTTAATGGGACCTACAACCCAGGATAGATGCAACCTAATCTAGAACTTAACTGAGCTGCCAGCTACTGTTGAACTTGCTTTTTGAAATACACCTCTGTTGGAGGGTCTTTGTCCCTGTCACAATCTTAACATGGCCTGAATATAACCTAAACATAGCTAGAACTTAAACAGGACAAACTTCAAACATAACCTAAAAATAACCTGAACATAGCTAGAACTTACTTACTTGCAGGACATAATTCGAACATAACGTTGAACATAACCAGAACATAACCTGACCTGAAGCAGGTTAGCCATTATTTGTAAAATACTAACTTAACTGAATAGCCAGCAAATCCGCCAAGTTAAACCTGCTTTCTGGAACACACTCTTAGGGGAGTGTCTTTGCCACTTTGCTCACAGTTGATTGGTTAAATTTTGGGTCAAGATTTCTAAACTTATACATAACCAAAGCAAACCCAAAAATAACCTAAACATAGCCAGAACATATCCAGGTTATGTTTGAATTATGTCTTGAACATAAACTAACATAACGTAAACATAAAAGAACTTAACCTGAACATAAACAAACATAACCTGAATAAAAATGGAACATAAATATGAACATAGCCGGAACATAACCTAAACGTAGCCAGAACTTAACCAGGACACAATTTTTAAACATAATCTGACATTAACCTGAACATAACCTAAACACAGCCAGGACATAACAGGACCTAATTTGAAAGTAACCTGAACATAAACCCACAAAAAACATAACCCTAATATAACCTGAACATACCCAGAACATGACCCGAACATAAATGGAACATAATTCTAATATAACCTAAACATAATCTGAATATAATTGGAACATAACCAGGACATAAGTTGAACCTAACCCGAACATCAATGGTACATAAGCAGAACATAATCTGAACTTAATTAGAACATAACCCGATCCGTAGCAGGTTAGTCATGGCAAGCAAAATAACATCTTGACAAGGGACCATTAAAGCAGAACTACCTTCATGGTACCTAAAACCCAGAATTGGTGCAAACTAAACTAAAACTTAACTGGATGGCCAACTAATTCAGCTTTGTGGAACTCTGGTGTCAGTGTGTGCTATGTTTTCTGTCAGTGCTGCTGCTGATGTTTGTTTTCTGCTGTTTCTCCTACAGCTTTCTCTAAGTAAGTGCAGTGAGGTCTGGTGGAGCGCTGTGCTGAAGGGTGAAGCTGAAATCGATGTTAACCAGATTAATCGAGAGCGATCTATGGCCACGGTGGATGAAGAGGAACATGCGGTGCTGGACCGACTGACATTCGACTACCACCAGAAACTGCAGGGGAAACCACAGAGCCACGAGATGGTGAAAAAATAAAAACACTTCTGCATCACTGGTCTACTGCTGTCGGACAGAAAACAAGAAAGTTATTCTCACAGAGAGGTTCCTAGGGTGGCTAAGAGAGAGTAACATGCTGCATTTCAAGAAAACGCGTGCAATTACAAACACCTGCAGCAAATTAAGAAAAGATCACTTTGACAGCAAATATGCTGCAGTTCCTCACATTACAAACACATTAAACTCTGCATTCTCTCACAACACATGCAAACAGCACAGAACACAACGGAAATGTTTCAAGGGGGTCTCTAAGACATGACAGACCCAGCTGTTTCGGTTAGGGTTATTTAGGTTAATATAAAAAAGACAAGGGAATGGTGGAAGCAGGGGGTTAAAATAAACAATAAACTCACCTTTCAAAGATCACCCACAGCTTCACTGAGCAATAGTCACGGCACAATAAACAAATTCCAGCCAGGTCTGTCATGTTTTTGGGTACATAACCTGAGCATAACTAAAACGATTGTATCATAACCTGAGCGTAAGCAAATCATAACAATAACATAACTAAGACATAATTAGAGTATAACTTGAACATAACTAGAACATAATTGCATCATAACCAAAACATAACCTTAACATAAGTGAAATATAACAGTAACTTAACTAGAACATAACCAAAACAAAAAAACGGAACATAACCCAAACATAACAATCATAACAACCAAACAAAAATTTATACATAACCTGAACAAAATTAAAACATAACAGAAACATAACCTGAACATAAGCGAATCATAACATTAACATAACTAGGACATAATTAGAGCATAACCCAAACATAACTGGAACATAACCAAAACATAAACCAAACGCGAACGTAATTTAAATATAACCTGAAGATAAAATTTTACACATAACTGAAACATAACCTGAACATAACCTAATAAAACCATAAGAACTTAATAAAAGCATAACCCAAACATAACCTAAATATAATTGAAACATAACTAGAATATAATTACACCATAACCTGAACATAACAAACATAAACTAAACATAACTAAAGCATAAAGCATAACCTGACCATAACAAACATAACCTGAACATAACTAAAGCATAAAGCATAACCTGAACATAACAAACATAACCTGAACATAACTAAAGCATAAAGCATAACCTGACCATAACAAACATAACCTGAACATAACTAAAGCATAAAGCATAACCTGAACATAACTAGAATATAATTAGATCATATCTAAAACATAACCTGAATATAAGCGAAACATAACATTTAAGATAACTAGGACATAATTAAAGCATAGCCGAACTAAACAAAACCAGAACATAAGCTAAACATAACCTGAACATAAAAATTTACACATAACCTGAACATAACTAAAACATAACCTGAACATAAGCGAATCATAACATTAACATAATTAGGACATAACTAAAGCATAACCGAAATATAACTTCGATATAAGCTGAACATAAAATTTTACAGATAACCTGAACATAGCTAGAACCTAATAAAAAGCATAACCCAAGCATAACCTGAACATAAACAGAACATAATTAGATAATTACTAAAACATAAGTGAAACATAACATTAAGATAACTAGAACGCAATTAGAGCACAACTGAAACAAACAAAACCTGAACCTAACCCAAACGTAACCTGAACATGAAACTTTATACATAACCTGAACATAACTGAAACATAACCTGAACAAAACTAGAACGTAGTTAGAGCATAACCCAAACATAACCTGAACATATTTGAAACATAACATGAACATAACCTGAATATAACTAGAACATAACTAAACATATAGCATAACCTGAACATAACATTTCCATAAATCCATTCGTCTGAAGTATGTTTTATAATTATTATACAGAACTATTATCAATATGTGTTTTTTCTGACTCGTATTCATCTTGTTTTCCAGAAAGTGCACGATATGCTGAAGAAAGGCTGGGACGCTGAGGGATCTCCATTTAAAGGACAGGAGTTTGACCCGTCCATGTTCAACATCCCGCCCAGTGCTGTTCAGTTCTGATGTCCCTTCCCGTCCCACACACTGATGCTGCAGAATCATCATCATCTCGGTTTGATGTCTGTGATCATTACATTTACCCAGAGTGTATTAATATTATATATTCGTTTTCAGAGGATGTCAGTGATGCACAGAAGCAGCATGAAAAACGTTTTCTTGGATTTGCTACAGGTTTTCAGGAACGCAGAGATGGATTTATGTTCAGTCTGTGCTGCTGGTAGATGCTCATTCAGTTCCCTCATTCAATATTTGTGCCTGAGTCTATTAAAAACTTTTGCAAACATTCAGTTTGTGTTTGTGTTATGCTGTCGGTTGCACTAAAACAGGCGAATGTCATACACACTACCTGACAGAAGTCTTGTTGTTGATCTCAGTTGTAAGAGCAACACATAATAACTTGACTTCAAGTTGATTATTAAAGTGTCAGAAGGTGGATTTCTCTGCTGGATCATCTGTTGATCTGCATCCCGATCATCACCAATACTGCAGAAGACCTACTGGAACCAGCATGGACCAAGATTCTGACAGAAATCAGTCAAGTTTGGTGAAGGAGACATCATGGTTTGGGGTTACATTCAGTATGGGGGCGCAAATACTAGTATCCTGCAAAATAACTAATAATGTAAATTAATTTAATGTGGTATATAGAAATATTATATATTATAAATATCATGTACTGTCAGCACGGCAATAACTAAAGACATTACTTATTATAAATGCATTATTCAAACTATTATCTTTAACTGTAATTTAAATATAATTAATGTTGTTAAATATGCAGGTGGCGCAGTGGGTAGCACGTTCGCCTCACAGCAAGAAGGTCGCTGGTTCGATCCTCGGCTCAGTTGGCGTTTCTGTGTGGAGTTTGCATGTTCTCCCTGCATTCTCGTGGGTTTCCTCCTGGTACTCCGGGTTACCCCACAATCCAAAGACATGCGGTACAGGTGAATTGGGTAGGCTAAATTGTCTGTAGTGTGTGTGTATATGTGTGGATGTTTCCCAAAGATGGGTTGCGTAAAAACTTGCTGCATAAGTTGGTGGTTCATTCCGCTGTGGCAACCCCAGATTAACTAAGGGACTAAGCCGACAAGAAAATTAATGAATGAATGCAGGTGGTTCATTGCGCTGTGGCAACCTCTGGAATAGCCACTAAGCGAAGGAAAATTAATAAATAAATACGCTGCTTAAAAACGTGCTGGATAAGTTGGCGGTTCATTCCGCTGTGGTGATCCCAGACTAATAAAGAGACTAAGCCGAAAAGAAAATGAATGAATTATATATAAATATATATATATATATTTCTCATATATGTCTCAGAAATCATCCAATTCAATATTCCAGTGCAATGGAACAGACTTGCTCTATTAGTGTTGGATCAGTGGAGGTGTGTGTGTGTGTGTGTGTGTGTGTGTGTGTGTGTGTGTGTGTGTGTGTGTGTGTGTGTGTGTGTGTGTGTGTGTGTGTGTGTGTGTGTGTGTGTGTGTGTCAGTCAGATGAAGCCGCAGGTGTTCCTCCACACACACTCAGAGCGGCTCCACAGCGCCTCCAGCGGCCACAGCGCGCCTCTAAAGCCGATCTCTGGCTCTGAAGGCGCATTCAGTCGGCGAGAGCTCACGGTGCGGACGGTGGAGCCTCAGTCCAGCCTGAGTAGCCTTTAATCCAGTCTTGCACACTCTCACACTCACAGCTGGAAGAGGACAGACATGGCAACCACAACCTGCACGCGCTTCACCGACGAGTACCAGCTCTACGAGGAGCTCGGAAAGTAAGTGTGTGTGTGTGTGCGTGTGTGCGCGTGTGTGTGTGCGTGATGGAGATTATATATGAGGAGCTGTCAGGAACTCTCACTTCATTCCAGCATAGGTGTGCTCCTAGTAGAATGGAGGAAGTGTGTTTGTGCAGGTATACAGAGGGATGTGATGCTCTGTGGAGATGTTTGAGATGAGGTTTGATGGCATGCGGGTCTTGCAGGATGTAGAGGAGTGTGTGAGAAGAGAGAGAGAGAGAGAGTGAATGTGTGTGTGTGTGTGTGTGTGTGTGTGTGTGTGTGTGTGTGTGAGCAGATTGCATGTTTCTCTGTCAGAGATATTAGAGATGCGTGTCCACGTTAATTTATTTTATTAGTTTTAATTAGTAGTTTATCTTGTATTATTGTGTGTGAGCATGAACGAGTGTGTGTGTGTGTAAGTTGTGTGTATGGGAGAGTTTGTGTGTCAGTGTGCAAGTATGTGTTTTTGAGAGAAATGTATGTGTGTATGAGAGTGAGTGTGTGTTTTTTAGAGTGTGAGAGAGCGTGTGTGTGTTAGTGTGTGAGAGAGTGTTTGTGTGTAAGTGTCTTAGAGTGGGAGAGTGTGTGTATGTCTATATATGCATGCATGTGTCTGTGTGTGTATGGGTGTGTGTGTTTTCTCTCAGCTCCTCTTCTTCAGTGTGTGTGTGTGTGTGTGTTGTCTTTTGCACAGTTTTCTTCTGGATGTTTGCAGTGTGTTTGATCAGAACACACACACGCACACACACACACACACACACACACACACACACGCTGACCTTCTGCTTTACTACTAAGATGTTTCTGTTCCTCCTGTCAGACTCAGGGTTGCCAGGTTCTGTCTTTCTCACAGTAATGGGCTGTTTTTATAATCACCTTAGTGTGCTTTAAAACCTTTAACCAAATGTTTCTAATTGGTAAATTATTTATATATCTATTATCATAAATTCGGTGTCTCAGTGGTGTCGCACTGTGACATCACAGCAAGAAGGTCGCTGGTTTGAGTCCCGGCTGGGTCATTTGGTGTTCCTGTGTGGAGTTTGCATGTTCTCCCCGTGTTGGTTTCCTCTGGAGGCTCTGGTTTCCCAACAGTCCAAACACATGCGCTATAGGGGAATTGATCAACTAAACTGGCCATAGTGTATGTGTGTGTGGGTGTTTCCCAGTACTGGGTTGCGGCTGGAAGAGCATCCACTGTGTAAAACATGCTGGAATAGTTGGCGGTTCATTCCGCTGTGGTAACCTCTGATGAATAAAGGGATTGAGCCCAAGCAAAATGAATGAGTGATCAAGAAAATATTTGTCGTATTGATTTGAAATCGTTGGGTTTAAAAGTGTTATTTAATTTTATGTAAATGAAATGTGATTAAATAGGAGGATCTAATGGGAGGCTAAAACGTTAAACTTAATTTAATTCAGCTACACTTTAAAAAATTAACCCTAAATGTTGACAAACTTAATTTTTTTTAGAGTGTAGCTGAATTAAATCACGTTTTACGTTTTAGCCTCATGATTAGAGCTGCAAATAAAAATGACTCCTATTGTGATCATTCATTTATTTTATTTTCGGCTTAGTCCCTTTATTCCTCTGGGGTTGCCACAGCGGAATGAACCACCAACTTATCTAACATATGTTTTACACAATGAATGCCTTCCCAGCTGCAACCCAGTACAAGGAAACACCCATACACACTCATTCACACTCATACACTATGGACAGTGTAGTTGATCAGTTCCCCTATAGCGCATGTGTTTGGACTGTGGAGGAAACTGGAGCACCCGGAGGAAACCCACACCAACTCCACACAGAAACACCAACTGACCCAGCAGCGACTCAAACCAGCGACCTTCTTGCTGTGAGGTGACAGCGCTACCAACTGTGCCACCGCGCCGCCCCTATTGTGACAATAATATATGCAATAGCCATCACAGGCAGGTGTGATAAATAAAATGTATGTTAAGTGCCAAGCTTCTGTGTTTTGCGTGCAAAGTGCATTTATCTAAATCTGACCAATCAAATGGAGAGGGTGCTCGCTGCAGAGCCATTTGAGGAGAGGTGAGCTCCAGAGAGGGGGAGCATGAGCTGTCGCTCCTCCTCCTGTAAGCTGTTTTAATGCGTACACCAACCCCACCCCTAACCCTACCCCCAGTGACATCACGCGTAGAAGAAGTGCAAAAAAGGTGGAGCTCAAGCTTAAGCTCCCCCTCTCTGGAGCTCACCTCTCCTTAAATGGCTCTGCAGCGAGCACCACTTGATCAAATGGGCACTCTTAAACCCCGCCCCCCAGAAGCTGCTGTTCTGCTATTGGCTATAGCAAAGAGCATAGAATCACCTAGAGGCGACACTCTAGTGCAATTTGGGAAACAGCCACTAGATGGCGCGGCGGCCATTTTGGAATACTCCAATAGAACAGCAGCATATTATAAGTCTGTAAATAAACTATTAAAAGTGCTGATGATTGTGATAGTGAGTGTTGTATTGTCGTCTTTCAGGTTGTATCTCAGCTTTAATGCACTTTTAAATAAATAAATAAAAAACAAAGCAGCTGTTGCTGGCCGCTGCTGTTGCAATGGAGCGTTGTATTGAGTGTCGCCTCTTGGTCATTCTACGCTCTTTGGTTTGCAAGGTTTGAGATATCACAAATATTTTGATGTCTTTGACAATCCAAACAAGAGCCGAAAACAGAGACGTACAAAATGTGCATTACGCTCCATGTTATGTATATTTTGTTGTCAGGTGTGCTTCTTTTAATCTTGGATTTATCTTTGAGAATTTGATGTCTTGTATTGATCGTTTATGAATTGACTGATTGAAGTGGTATAATACACATTTACCTGGCTAATAAATTGTAATGTTTGACCATATTTTGCTCACTCTGTAATTATTAGTTCTAGTAGATTACGCTGTATCCTTCTTCTTGCGTCAGGTCTGTAGACGGACTAGAATCCAGTTGAGATGGAGCATTGGGCACACTAACTGTGTTTTAGGGATCCGACTGACTCTTGATATTGATTCAAGTGTACTTAGGTGGAAAGGGCGTTAACTTCCGTCTAGGACAACAAGGAGTTGCACGGCTAACCTAGATTGGGGACCCGACCTTTGTTTGAAGGTAATATTATTCTAAATTAAGTTCATATGGGAAACCATGGACTTGGTGAAAACCAAAATGATTATAGAGTTCAGTAGTCGGGTACATTTATATTAATGCCCTAACCTTCTGATTGGAAATGATATTGTCTTTACTCAAGGGTGTACATCTAAGCGGGACTAGTTAAAAGTACTTTAGAGTAAGCAAGCATGGGAGCGGCCATCTAAAGTATTAGTCAATTACCTCTGTTTAATATTCAAGACTGACCGGAGTGTGATCGTGAGGGACGCCTTCGGCTGGGGCGATTTCTCTGAGCGACATGAGCACCCGAATGAACAAATGTAATAGTTACGAGTGAAGACAAAAGGTTCAAACATTCATCTGAATTATATATTGATATAATCTTCTTAATGCTTTATTATTGGAGTCAGATAAAACTAAAGATAAATATATTAATATTCTAAACCACCTCATACTCAAACTGGAGTCAGATATGAGTTAAATTTAATATAAATCAACATTGTGCACTGGAAAGACTGAACAGCCATTGAACCTTCATCCACCAGTAGACACCTCCATTAGACCAGCTGGGTGGAACTTACAGGCTATAGTGACCCAAAGGTGAACCTAGAACTGAAAACAAACACTAAAACAGCCAATCAGAGTCAGAATAACTGCATAATCCTTACACACATTCACAGAGATTAAAGAGTAAAAGTCTAGCCTAAACTAGAATGACCAAGATCTGGAAAATATGTATTACCTGCCTTCTTTAAATATGATCATTACACAAATCAATACATTAAAATAGCTAATAACAAAAATAGCATTTCTTTAGCCTCTTAAACCCTTATTTTGGGATTTACGCCTGGATTTTGCCTACCCAAATTTAAAAGCTTTCCAAATCCACATGCAGAGGTGTGAATGCAAAAACTTGGTATAATTTTAAAGAAAACTCTTTGATAAAATAGGGTTATCGAAAAAATATAATAAACACCTAAAAAAAGAGGAGCTTCTTGTATTTTTTTTTTTACGAACTCAAATTTAAAAGTGTCCCTTTTAGGTTGTGTGTGCTCTAGCGTGCTGTAATTAATGTTGGTGGCTCCTGCACATGTCTGTAATCATAGGAAAAAAGAAAAATGTCTCCACCATAATCTGTGCAAAAGTTATCGTATTCCAACTGATGAGAGGTGCTGTACGAGCCACAGAGACCGATCATTGGTTTCATATTTCACTATTCTTTTGTTTGATCAAACATAATTCACTGTGTTTGGACCACGTCAGACATATAAAAGGATTACTTATGCACATCACCTCAAAAACAGAGGAGAATGGCCCTGAAGCGCACAGCATAAGGTGAGAGATGACAGCTGTCTGTGCTATCTGGGGCTGCTTATTGATCATGAATGTATTGTTTTCACTTCTGCGCCATGGAAACACCGAGATTCATTCGGCAACTGTTTGATATTTGAATATAATTAAGTAAAAGAATGCTACACCGTATGAGCACCGGCAAGAGCTTTTATTTGAGCTATAACTTGTACATGTGTCATTTATGAACAGGGCCGGATTAACCAATGGGCCTTATGGGCACAGGCCCAGGGGCCCGTGTGCACTAGGGGCCCCTGCGAGGGGGAAGAAAAAAAAGACAATTTCGGAGTGTCTTTTTTGGCTAATTGCAAATAGCGCATCTAGTTGGAATAAGCTATTCAGGGTTTACGCCCATCGATGCCTGATTGATAGAGACAAGATGAGTATAGAGCTGATTACGAATACAGCCGCAGAGGCGCACCTTGTAAGGCGAGCAGTTTCATGTTTTGACGCTATTGATCATCAACTCGGTTCGAATCCACCATCAGCTGAACTCGTGCTACTTTTTTTTCTCCCCGTTACATATCAGATTGGAAA